AAAAATATAAATTATTTGAAAGTAATTAATACTTATTTACCAATTTTGTCCCTACAATTAATATTCAAAGATATTAGCAACTCATTATATTTTACTCTCTTATTTACAACCTCGCCTATGGGTAAAGTTGGAGAAACCCTCCAATTTAAAACATATTTAATGAATTAACTACTATTTTTTGATATTAATGAATTCATTAAAATGATGTATATTGTGAACTGATTACGTATTTAGTACATTGTTGTACTCTTACAAAACATAATGTTGTTTTTTTTTCCTTTTTATAGTCTAAGTTATATTATATATGTATCAAAAATAGGGAGAATTAGAACCAAGGACCTGTAGAGAAGAATATTTAGTGAAAAAAAGTCTAAAAATTAGAATTATTTCAAATGACCATACAATAAAATATACTTTTAGAATGGCTAAATTATTCATAACTAATTTTCCTATATTCTCTCCTTTCCCTTCAATAATGCTTCCTTTAAGGGGTGATATTGATGATGGCAAAGGGTAAAAATCTCTTCGTTTCAAATGTTCAAATGCAAAGTGAGGATCTCTTTCAAAAGACAAAAATGCATCTCTAACATCTAACTTATAAAATACTTGATATCCAAATAAGTATTAACTCAAAATATCTTCCTCAACCAAGCATTTCACAAAAACCTCTTTCTAGTTGATACATTGTTCAAAGGGAAACGAGAAGTATAATTCAATTCTAGCATTATTCTATTAGTAATCTATTGTGAGTTTTCACCTGAGCTGAGGGATCCTAATTAAATTATCAAATGCACAAATGCTGTCTAATGATCAAGAAGCCCTCCCTATTCCAACAGCAAAGGTGAAGATTCATCTCAAGATTTGGAAAAGAAGAAGCGAATTCACCATTGATGCTGAGCTTGGATAGCTTGTTAGTGGTGGAATCGAGTGTAGAAGCCATTGAATGAGCACAAGAGCGGAAGAATCACAGAGGGAACGAAAAAAGTGAACAACGATAGCTTGCTATTTAAAAATCTATATTTTAACAGTTGGTTTTTTCTAAATAATTCTAATTTTTATGATCATTAATTGACTAAATATTTTTCCTCACAGGTCCCCTGTTATAATTCCCCCTTAAAAATACTCTTTATTTTGCAACAGCAGGGGAATTTCCGTTTTGAACAGTAAACAATCATAATAGAAGCTTTCAAGAAGGTTGGGGGTTCACCTTAAAAGCATCTTTAAAAAATACTTTCATGCAAGTTGAAACAAAACTCTTTTCACATATTTACTTCGTAGATTGTAAAATCACTTTTAAAATCATGTTTTGGTTTCTACGTGTCTAGAAGAAAGAATTAGTTCCTCGTAACATGATGAATTAATATTTGAATCTTTGCTGGAAAAAGTGTCCAATGCAGTATTCAACAGTGTCCCAAATAAATTGTTTTCAATTTAGGAGGATACATGTACTTAGTAAAAAAAGAAAGTAAGAAAGAAACTTTCAAGAATATAAAGATATATTTTGCACATTATATATTGTTGATAATAAAAGTGACGATTGAAAATTTTGATACGAACTCAATCATTTGTAAATTTTGGTATGTACATGAGCAATTTAGATCAAATACCAGTGAAAGTTTTTTTTTTTTTTTTACCGGAAAATACCAGTGAAAGTGGAAAAGAAAAGATCATATATACTGGTTCAGGTATTAAATTTAATTAAAGAAATAACATGAAATTGAAATAAATTATAAGTAAATACATTCCATAACACATTTTAATGATTAAGTAACGAAGAGATAATGTCAAAATCACTATATATAATCCTTTGTCATTTTTGTAAGACTCCATAACTAAGAATCTTAACGCCAGTACGTTAACTTTTCCTCTCCGATCTCACCGATGATATTTTTATTTTTATTTCTCCCTAATTTATTTGTTCATAAAATTAATTATTACTATGCACTAAAAACCATATGGAATGCTCTTCTCTGCCTCAAGCATATACAGCTTTACGCAATAAAAAAAAAACTTATTGAAAAGACAAATTTAAATCCATATATAAGTTATTTTATATATAATAACCAACATCGCGTGTCTCGGTCCAAGAAAAAACTTCACGTGTTACTTATTTAATTTTTTTTTTGCTAACGTTACTTCTTTTAATTTAAAACATTAATTTTATGTGTTTCAAGTTATAAAATTCTTTCAAGATTCGTTATTTAATTGTTTACATAGAAAAATGTAATAAAACACGTTTGGTGACAATAAATAATCACAAATTCACAATCAAAGATGAGACAAGCTTTTAAACAAATACTATTATCACAATGGTTGTTTCCAAAATATATCTACCCAATCCCCTGACTCGCTCTGTGGAAAATATTTTTTAATGGTAATAATAATATATTAGATTTTTTTCAAAATTCTCAAGCATCTTAAGATAATCTTTGAAGATATTCTAGTATCTTTTCCCATTTTTTTTATTTTTTATTTTGTATTTATTTATTTATTTTCCTTCTTTTTCAACACGTGCGGATAACACATATGGGGTTCACATTTCCGCCCGCTTTTGTTATTTTTCATTAAAAGTATTATATTTTCTTTCACAAATGCCTTAATAATTGTGTCACAGGGAGATTATATAAGAAAGAGAAATTATCGTAATTGATATAAGTTGATTTTAATCGAAAGGTGTAGTGCTGAAAAATAATGATAGTTTTCTAACAATACTGAGAATCCAAGCTACTTTTAATTATTTTTTTTAAAAATCCATACCAAATTCTAAAGCAGTTAAAAGTAACTAATATTAAGAAGCTAATTAAATACTCCCTCTGTTTCCTTTTATAAGAGACAATTACCCAAATTATGTTATTCAAAATATTAGTTAAAATTAACTGATCAAGAACAATAATAAGTAAAACATATGATATTTCTGTCAAAAATATCCTCATTTATGTGAAAGATAAATAACACGTGGGAAAAATTAACAGACAGCCTTTAAATATTTTTTATAAAAAAAAATTACATATATTTCATAATTATCTCTTATAATAAGAAACGGAGAAAGTATATAGCGGTGGAATGGAAGTGGCAAGGATCTTTCATTGAATATGGCCATCAAAATCCGAAAACAGATGGGGAAAAAGAGGAACTGCAATGTTTATAAATTATAATTTTATTAGATTATTTTTGAAAGTATTAATGGCAATATTTGCTTTACTATTTTAGCCTAACTTTACACATATAGAAATTGATTCTTAAAATTTAAAAAGTATCGAGTTTACACCAGACTCAAAACATGTTACTTCTTTTTTCTTTTTGGGTATAAGATCCCACCATCCGATCTGTGGGACCTTTAATAAGCCCTAGCTTTTTACAAATAAGCAGCCAGTTTCTGCACATATTTAATATTTTTTTTTAAAAAATTAATTTGCGGGTGTACTCCTACTCTCCCCATTTTTTTAATAATAAATTATCTCTTTTATAATGTTGCCCCTGAATATAAAAAACAATTCTTCTTCGTTTCAAGTTTTAAACCGGCATTTTCACTTTTAACTTCATTAAATATATGTCATTTGTTGTCCCTTTATAATGAATTTTTACCCATTATCTATCACGTACTCTTTTTATAAATAAAGGTATGATTAAAAATATATATTTCACATATTTATTGTTCTTAATTAAATTTAACTAATATTTTAAATAGGGTGATTTTGATTGTTATTTGTATAGTAAGAAAGAGGGAGTATTAATTAAGTTTCTGTTGACATTTCCTATTGTACTCATTTAATGATTCATAATTTCACATAATTTTTTTTTTTTTGCCAAATAATTTCACATAAATAGGTTCAGAGACAGCGATCAAAGAGTCCTGAATCCGGGACGCATTCAGAAGAATCCGAGGTCACGTTCGTGTCATCTTTGTTTGACCTAAGGACTCTGCCTTCAATTTATTGTCTTAAAAGCTTCACATTAATTGCCAACAGAACCACTGACTCTTTTTCGGTGCCATGCATCAAACTCTAAAGTTTGTGAAATTTATAGCAATACGCCCAAACGAGCATCATACTTTTACTAAAATTTAAACTCTGAAAAAAAAAAATATTCCTTTCAGTCCTAAATACAAGACTTACTCCTTTCGTCTTTTATTATAAGATCATTTTAATTAAATTATGTAGTCTAAGAAAACAGTTAAAATTAGTTAAAAGCAATTGATATGTAGCAAATATAATTTTTTTTCAAATACACCCCTCTATAGAAATGTGTAAATGTGAGAAACTAATAGTAAGATAAATGTGCTGGCAAAAAAAATAGTGAGATAAATAAAGAAAGAGAATGTATTAAATACGTTAAATTTGAGGTAAAATGAATAATAATGTATTAAATGCTTAAATAAACTCGAAGAAGATTTTAGAAAAAGGAGACAAATCGATTCAAAAAATTAGATCTCATAATAAGGAACGGAGTAGTATTTTGCAGTATAATTTATACTAGAAAATAGGTTTTATATTTAGAATGAGATGAGTAGTATGTTAATAAATATTAAAAATAAGAATAAAATTGCAAAAATATTTTTCAAGTAAAATATCCATGGCAGCGTTCACGTTGGCCTGCCAAAAGAAAACTTCCATTCCTGGGCTTCTTATCCGGGGCACGCCATGGTGGACCCCACTTGAGGACGTTAGCTTTTTGTCTGATTGTCGTTAATTGTTTGAACTCCTTCCGAAAACGAAAAAACTCCGTGGCCGTGTCATCGTTGCGTATGACTATGTTTTCGCCTTTTCGGTTTGGCTCGTCTATCTCTTAGAAACCGTTACAGGGGCAATAAATTTGTCCACACAAATATTTGTAACCCGCAGTATATGGCCACCGATTCATGGGCAAACTCGTCAATTGAGACTCACGGAAAACTAGGACGTGTTTGGCAGCGCCTAAATACTAGCCCTGTGTAGTAGTATATATAGAGCGGACCACGCCCGTACTGCCCATCTTGTTAGTACTTTATTGAAGCAATAATCCTCTCTCTTCTTCTTCCTCCTCCTCTTCTGTTGTTACATGTGAGGCAGGTAAGAAAAACAACGTTGTCGTGCGTGCGGGGGAGTCACATTGAAATGCGCGGTGCTTCTTCTTAACCTCGTTGGGATCGAGACGCCCTCTGTCTCTGCCTTCCCTCTTCTTCTTCCTTCCTTTTCCTTCCTCTTCCCACTTGGTTCCCTCAAAAAATTTCTTCTCCTCCACTTATTCCCAACTCCTCTCTCTCTCTCTCTCTGTGACCCCATAGAATCCTGTAGGGAAATACCGTCCCAGGTACTGTTACATGTCGGGAATTCAAAGCTTGATGCTGTTGAGTACGACAAAATATCTTTTGTTTCCCCCCTTTTTCATTTCGTCTTGATTCCATTTGCTTTTGGTTCTTTCATGGGGTCGCTGTTGGTTTCCTTGTGTTGTTGAAGTTGAAGTTGAAGCGCCCACACAAATGGGCTCTCACGATTTTCTTGGCTTCCCCTTTTGATTTCTACTTTTTACTACTTGAATCATTCCGTTGACTTTCTTCCCTTTCTTAATTTGCTCACTTTTTTCAAATCTTCCCGAAGATTTGCAGCTAGCCAGGAAGCATCTAATCCAAGCCATGTTGGAAGTCAAGAGACCTTCGTATCAAACACTCCACACTCTAAATTCCCTTTGAACGACGTCTTTTCTCATAACAGTGTCGATTTTGGATTTGCTGTGTGCTATCTGGATACCAGGTTCTTGTGTCATTCTCTCCCTCACTCAGAGAGAAAAGGCTACTTTCCGCGTTCGTGTTTCTCGTGATCACTTTTTGTCTTTCCTTTTGATTTTTGTTCATCACATGAATTTTCTTGTGCCTGGAACAATTCTATTGGTTTTTATCATCCGACTTCGAGCTTATCCATCAATGGGCTATCCAGTTCTTCATTACCCAGTGTTTGTTTGTTTTTGTTTTCTTCTTTCACTTCCTCTTCCATTTTCTTGGTGGGGCTGCGAATTGCAATTTCTTTTTTGTTCTTTTGCAATTTTCGGACGTCCAAAGGGCACGCAGAACCATAATATTCAACTTTTTCCTGTATACGAGTATTTCTGAATTTTATTCACCTGGGTCCGCAAGAAAAAGGATGGTGGAAAATTAAAATTGGACAAAGCTCTTTGATTTTATATGCCTTTCTCCCACCGCAACAGTATTTGGCTCCTTCTGCGTTATTTCTTCGTCTTTGACTATTGCTCCATATAACTTTTACAACCTGTATGAGCATTTACTGACGGAATTCATTCACTGTTTTCGTGAGTAGCTGCAGCTGTTGAGTCGTGAGGATGTTGGAGAAGGAGCAAGAGTTTGACGTAGAGAAAGTGATAGAGAACTTTGAAGCTTTGACAAAGGATGCTGAGAGTGTTCAAAGGGAGACTCTGAGAAGGATTTTGGAAGACAATGCATCAGCAGAATACTTGCAGAATCTGGGTCTCCATGGAAGAACTGATCCGGACGGCTTCAAAGCTTGTGTCCCTCTGGTCACACACAAAGATTTGGAGCCATATATACAGAGAATCATTGATGGCGAGGCTTCATCTTTTCTCACTGGAAAACCCATCACAACCATGTCGCTAAGGTACACATTTCGAAAATGAAAAATTAATTCCTATTTTCACATTAAGCACACAAAGTTTCTGTTTCAGCTTAGTATTAGAAGAAGCTTCTGATCAGTCTAGAGATTCTCTTGCAGTTCTGGCACTACTCAGGGGAAGCCCAAATTTGTGCCTTGGAATGATGAATTGTTTGATACCACATTGCAGATTTATCAGACTTCCTTTGCCTTTAGGAACAAGTATTCATCATTCATCTCCTTCTATTCCTTTTTTCACAAAAAAGAAAAAAAAAATTTGGTTCTGTACAACATTCTATCATCAGTTTAGTACTAGTTCTGATACAGCTTCTCCATTTTAAAGAGAATTCCCTATACAAAATGGGAAGGTCTTGAACTTCATCTACAGCAGCAAGCAGTTCATAACCAAAGGAGGCTTGATAGCTGGAACTGCTACAACAAACCTGTTTCGTGATCCACGATACAAAAGCTCGATGAAGGCGATTCAGTCCCAATGCAGCAGCCCGTATGAAGTGATATTTGGTTCTGATTTTCATCAATCTTTGTACTGTCATCTACTGTGTGGACTAATCTTCAGAGAAGAAATTCAATGGGTCGGTTCTACATTTGCACATAGCATTGTCCATGCTTTCAGAGTCTTTGAACAAGCTTGGGAGGAGCTCTGTACTGATATCCGAGAAGGGGTCCTCACAAACAGAGTCACTGATCCTTCAATCCGAGCAGTCATGGAAAAATTGCTCAAGCCAGACCCAGAAGAAGCTGATCTGATTTATAAGAAATGTGTGGGTTTGAGCAACTGGTATGGACTAATACCAGAGCTTTTTCCCAATGCAAAGTATGTTTATGGGATCATGACTGGGTCTATGGAACCTTATTTGAAGAAGCTGAGGCATTATGCAGGAAAGCTGCCATTGGTGACTGCAGATTATGGTTCTTCTGAAGGCTGGATAGCCGCGAATGTTAACCCGAAAATTCCCCCAGAATCTGCTACTTATGCAGTTCTTCCTCAGATTGGTTACTTCGAGTTCGTCCCTCTCACACAGATCGACACAACTGTGGGGCTCACTGAAGTGAAGGTTGGAGAAGAATATGAGATTGTCATAACCAATCCAGCAGGTAATAATGATATGCAGATCCTTTTTCATGAATCTCTTAATTTGTTTTGTCAATTAGGATTTGAATAAAGCCCTTTTCTTGGCTATGGTTTCCTCATAGCTGTTATCATTTTTCCACCTGCTACTTGAGTTGCTTGATGACTTTCCTGTCTATACTGTGCTGGAGTGCATTGACCAGCTTCTCAAATTATCCCAGAAAATCAAAGTCCTGTGATTTTTCTCAGTTTTTCTATTGTTTTCTTGTGGGGTACAAGGCATAGTAGTTGTAAGTTTTGATAAATTTCTTCCTGGAGATGATATTTTATTGAGAATAATGCACACTGGTCGAAAGTAAATATTTGGTAGGGAAAAACTGTCCACATTGTTGAGAGAAACGTGAGTTTCTTTTTCTGATTAATAACAGAAAGTTTAGATGAGTAGGTCAGTAACTCACTTAGAGCGCTTAGAGAGAGAGAGAGAGGTGAGTTTGAATATAAAGAGATACGTATTTGACGTGTCTATACATATTGTTTGATAATTGCAGGCTTATACAGATACAGGTTGGGGGATGTGGTGAAGGTGATGGGTTTCCATAACTCAACTCCAGAACTCAAGTTTGTTCGAAGGAGCAGTCTTCTGCTAACCATAAACATTGATAAGAACACAGAGAAGGATTTGCAGTTAGCAGTAGAAGAAGCGGCAAAACTATTAGCAAAGGACAAAGCAGAAGTTGTGGACTTCACAAGCCATGTGGATTTGTCGACAGAGCCAGGGCACTATGTTATCTTCTGGGAAATCAGTGGGGAGGCAAGTGAACAAGTTCTCACACAATGCTGCAACTGTCTGGACAAGTCCTTTGTGGATGCTGGCTATGTCAGTGCTCGGAAAGTGAAGTGGATCGGCGACCTCGAACTCCGGCTCGTTCGGAGGGGAACATTCCAGAAGATTCTGGATCATTTCCTTGAACTTGGAGGTGCCGTTAGTCAGTACAAGACACCAAGATGTGTAGGGCCTGCAAATATTGGAGTGTTGCAAATCTTGAGCGACAATGTCGTTATGAAGTATCTCAGTAATGCTTTCAACTGAAAGAAAAGATGGATATAAGAATTAGCGAATTCAAAGGTTGCTTTAGTATCATCAAATTCTGCAAACTAATTAAATTTCCTATTTCATCTTTCCCCCCATGTCTTTCTTTCTTTGCTTTTTCTTCTTTTTTTTTTTATTTTTTTCACTTTCTTTTCCTTTTCCTCCCCCTCATCATGTTCTTGTAACAAAATCGCCCCAGTGTAAATGTTACTGAACAATGTGTTTTTAACTTTTAAATGTGTTATAGATTTAATATCTCTATAAAAATCTATAACAGATAACATTATTTATGATGAGTTGTGTGATTCATTTTTGCAAAATCCATAGGAAATATTTAAATGACTTGTACTAGTCTTTATTATTGAGGTTATTTCTTCAAGATTAAGTTCATTCTTATGGCAATGGACTAATAAAGCGAGCTTTAGGACCCGCTCTTCCTTTTGACGAAGGGGGGCCGGACTTAAACTCTTCTTTCATATCCATTTTAATTTTTTAAAAAATAATACTCCTCCGATCCTTAATATAAGACCCAATTGTTAAGTTGGTTTTGGTTCTAAATATAAGACCCATTTCTAATATTTATCACTTTTTTCTAAATTACTTCTATGGATACTCTCTCAATCATAATTAAGTAGAGATGAAGAGGGGTATTAAAAAAAGATGATTATGGTATTTTAGGAAAAACATGTCACATTTTTTATAATTACGTAACTTACCTAATTTCCTTAATCTAATCAAATTAGTTAAATGGATCTTATATTAAGGACTGGAAGAGTATTAACATATGATGCTTTAATTTATATGTTCACATGATTCACACGTAGTCAATAAAAGATTCCAGTGCCCCCTATAGTGACGTGTGGAGATCGATTAATCTAAATTAAACTAAAAGGTTTTAAAAAAGCTCTCCATCATATAATTAGTTAATTTTAATTATGGTTATATCCCTTATAATTAACTTTAATTTTCACTCACTGCAGTGGTCCAGAGTTTTGAATTTCTGCTCCTCCTTTCTTCACGCAAAGTTAATCCTTTTCTTATTCTAGCCACATGTGTAAGATGAATCATATCATTGACAACTTGGCTTATAAATAATTCCAGTTTTATAAATAGAAAACCTTATTTGAGAAATCAATTTTATAATTCCTTAAAAATCAACAGCCAACACAATTTTTGGATGTTGTGAAGTTGTGATAAAACGAGCAATTTGCAATCTGTTAACTGTTATTGAAGGGCAACTAGAAATGATCAAAAAATTCATACTTTCAGTGGTCCATAATTTTCAAGATTAAAATATTTATTATATTTATTGTTCGTTAGTTATATTACATCTACTGCAACAAGAGTATAAGAACATGAAAGGAAACAAAAATGGGGTTAGAAAAATCAATGCTTACCTGTTATGCATATATAATACTGTTTAAAATGATTTATAAACCGCTTTTTTAATAATAATTTACAGAATATAAGATAAATATATAAAAAATTTTTTTTATCTCGACTCATAAAATATGTTTATAAATAATGTTAATCATGATTCCAAACCATGCCATCATTATCAAAAGTTTTAGCTCGGCTTCATGTCCTCGTCATGATTCAAGTGATCTCACTTTTTCTCAGGGGAACAAAGTCCAATGAATTTATTTGTACTTTCCCTTCTCGTTAAAAAATGGAAAAAGTATTCCTACATGGCCGTTCGGAGATCCATTTTTTAATGTTATCTAAATTTGAGTAGCTTCAGTACTTTCTGTGTATGAGATTTACCGATATTTTCTGTACATAAAAACATATCAAGGCTATTAATCAATTAGTTAATTCTCCCAACAAATATTTATCAAGAATTTTTTTAAATCAGGAAATCCGATGAAAATGAGTCATATGTTAGCCAAAACAAGGAGATCTGAGTCATATCCAAATATACTTTGCGTTCTATCTATACAAGGGGCAGTCTTGAAAAGTCATTTATATATAAGAAAATATCCCATGACAAATTTAGATAGAATATATAAATGATTTATTTCTTAATAATCGAGATACATGGATGATCGTTTGTCATTTCTTGCCAAATTAACTGTGAATATCACGGTAAGAGGGGAAAAAACAAGGAAAATGCACATTTGCCTCCAAGCATAAAAAGGATTCAATTCGTCAGCCTTTTTTAGTATGCAATATAATCGATATAATTGAGTATGTATCTTAATCATTTGATAATCACAAGGGTAAAGGATAATATATAGTGGTAATATCTTTTAAATAAAGACAGATCCAAATTGGTGACTCAGCATACCAAAGGGGGCAATGTCTATATGATTGCCTTTGCCAATGAAGAATAGACAATTCATAATTAAATTAATTCTTTTGTGGTTTTCCTTTTGGCACATAAAGCAACTAGTTTTTAACTTCTGATCCTGCGCCTTTCTTGAGATACTCATTTAGTGACGACTTTTGACTGGTCAATAGTTTGATTTGAAAATGGTGCTTCGCATCCCTCGGTATATATTGTCACATAATGATTTTCTTATTCTGCTATGTGTGTGTAGTCCAAATTCTTTTTTTGAAAAATAATTATTTCACTTATACTGTATATGTAATGTCCACACACGATGATTACGATGAGATAATTGCATTCGAAATACAATGCACCGTTACCTTGTTGAATGAGCAACCCCAACTATAAAAGTTTGTTTCTGTGGTGAAGACACGTACGGCACAAACATTTAAGTCGTACATTTTATGCTGTATCGGACGTACTAGGTACAGGTGTGTGTGATATATATAAAATATAGAGAGAGAGAGAGAAAGAGGGGAGGGAAGGATGAGGAGAAGAAATTCACCAGGGAAGAAAGGGAAAGAGAAGAATGGTCATGTATGGGACTGTGGAAGCTCATTGTACGATTCGTACGAACTGGCGTTAATAAGTGACATGATCGAGAGACATACGATGATGTCGTTTCCAGAACAACAACTGCGTAGGCTACAGAGCCAATCTGGGAGCGGAGGGCCCACTTCCATGGCGAAAAGGATGATGCACCAGTGGAAGAAGGTGTTTAGGGCAGGCAAGGAGAAGAAGAAGAAGAGCAACATGATCATCAGACGTTCTGCTTCTGGGTTTGGGTCCTCCTCTTTCAGGACGTCCTCAAATATTTAATTAGCTAGTCTGCAACGTGCATGCTGTGTTGACCTGATTTTTACAATTACAAGACGCCATTTCCCTCCACCAGTTTCTCGCATTTTGTGTTGCTTCTTTATCAATTTAATTCTTTTGTTTATTTGACTCTCAAATAATCGATCCTCCTGTGTATATAAGCGCGCGCACACACGAGAGAATTACAGTTTATCATCCCTTTCTAAATGACTGCCGCTGTAGGAAGCTGTCAGCTTAATATTTATTTGGGAATTTACAACGGGAGTGAATATGCGAGATTGATCATTGATTGAGATAAAAAAGATACTATGTTTAATCTTTAACATAAGAACTACTTTGATATTCAATTTAGTCTTAAATATATATAAGACCTTAATCTACCTCGTTTTTCATATTTATCTACTGTTTTTTTTTCAAAATAATACTTATAGTAATTACACATATTAAATATTTCATTAAATAGTAGTTTTAACTAATACACATGATTAGATAAGCAAATGTATTCTAGAGAAGATAATAGATACTACCTCCGATCCTTAATATAAGAGTTAGTTGGCTAACTTGAGTAGATTAAAAAATTAGTTAAGTTAGTTATTTATAATAAATTGATACTGTCTTTTCTAAAATATTCTTATTAATCAAGTGTATTAGTTAGAATTATTATTATAAGAATTATTTTAAAAAAAATAGATAAATATGAGAGATAAAATGGAATTTAAATAAACTTTTGTATTAAGAACTGAATATAGTACTTGCTACAAATAACTAGTTTAATATATTTTTTTAATCACCTTCAGCTTTTATTAAGGACGGGGTTAGTAATAAGAGGGGCAATGCACGAATATTTAAGACCAATGAATACTAATGCCTTTTTAATTTGTATTAAAGGATCCAATGCATCGATATTCAATCTCCAAAATATACTAACCCAATCCTTCGTTGTTCGCTGGTCAAAGAGAAAAAATCCTTCGTTGTCCATTCGGCCTCTTTGACCAATTATTGATGACTCTCGCTTTTCATAATATAAAGCAAATTTGACCCCCATTTATTGGATGCTCATAGACCATATGATATTATTTTACACACTTATGAAACTTAAAATTATTATACTCTTTCCTGTTATAAATATAAAACTCATTTTATAATATAAATTATATTATAAAATTTATATTATAAAATGAATTTTATATTTAAAACACGAGTAGTTCTTTGCAAAGCTAAAAAATTATTATATATCCAAAATAATTCATATTTCGTATAATATGACTAATATCGGTGTGCTGTGTCTGTCCGTCTGTCTCTCTCTCTCTCCGGTGGATGGCCCACCAAGTACAAAATTTGAAGGAAAAAGCAAAACAGCAGAGCACTAGGAAGCAGTAACTCTTCTTTTTGTCCTTTTCACAATGTTGTTGGGACCAGCACTTTCGTACTATTCATGGCTTTGGCGATTGTTGATTTCTGGTTTGCTCGTTCAACATGCGTCATTTGCTCAATCAAGCAATGAAATGAAATCTTTCCATTCAGATTCTCTCTTTGCTACCATTCTTACTGTTTTCTAATAACAACAGGCCAAAACCACTCTTCAATTATTATTTTTCTCTGTTTTAGATTCCAGAGCTTAGACCAGTCACTCTTTGCACGTGAGGGAGTTTGAAAGAACCTAACAAGTAATGACAGTTTTAAGCCATATTCAAAATTAACAGTCTCATTTTGAGAATAACATGGCAATGTTTTGTGCAAAAGAGTTTTTTTTTTTTTTTTGGGCCGAAAATATTTCAATTTCATCTTCCCAAAGTAGAATGAGAGTAAATATGGAGTGGTGCATGAAGGAGCTAAGGAAGTCCTTCACCTAACTTTCCATTCCTATCCCACTCTGCTGCTGCATACACAGAGAGTTCAGAGAATCCGAGCCTACTATCACTGTCAGTTCTCCCTCCGACGTCGTTTCGTCATTTGCTTCTTCTTGGCATTTCCATTGCAGACACCAACATCCAACACCTTTGGAAATCCAACCCCTTTCTCCTCTTTTATCCCTTTCTTGCTCGTTTCTTTCCAAAACCCAACACAGCCCAGCTCCTCTTCCAAGTTGGCATGTTTAAGTAATTCTGGAGTTGTAGAGTTTCAGATTTTATACTTTATATTAAATTTCGTTAGATTCTAAATTCTCAGAGAAAATTTGTCCCTTCTCTTTCGGTGTTGCGACTCTCCCATAAAAAACTCAGAAAAAGAAGCCACAACAAAAAGAAAAAGCAAAAAAGTGAGGCAACCCCTCCCTCGCTTTCTCTGTGTTGAGTGTCGTTCAGCTTTCTTTTTCCGAATGAAAGCTCCCATTAACACCTGCTCACTGACATTGCTGGTTCCAAGAAGCCAAGCCTTCGCTTTGAGGAGAAAGAAACACAATATTGTCTTCTCATTTCTGTTGTACTTGAAACTTCATTGCAAAATCCTGTCTGTGTTTCTCTGAGCATCTTCTTCTTCTTCTTGGCTAGTGACGGTGATTGGTTAAGTTTGTTGTGACTCTCACCATGACAGAATCTTCAGGGATGCGGCTAGTACGGTGCCCCAAGTGTGAAAATCTACTTCCCGAGCTCTCTGATTACTCTGTTTATCAATGTGGAGGCTGCGGAGCGGTTCTTCGAGGTACCCTTTTCTCACATTTTTCTTTTTCTATATACTCTCCAATCTTATTCTCTGAACGTTAGCACATATGGAGCACATCCTTTGGTTTTTTTTCCCCATCTTGAGGGCGTCTTCCTCACATTGAAGTTTGGAGATTATCTTTTCTTAGCTAGACTATTTGGGTGCCCTTGATGTGGGTTTGCTCGAAGATTCTAGCCTCTGATTATCGTATTTAGTGTTCTTTTGTCTACGGAAATTTTGCAAGCATGGATTCAAATAGGATCAGAGTGTTTTGTAACGCACAAATTAGGGGAAAAAGACCTACTATCTATCTCTAAAGTTCATGGTGAGGAAGCAATTTCATACCTAATTATTATGTATGTACATATCGCATCCATTTTGATCTTCTTTTTGCATGTTTGTGGCTTGTGAACTGATAAGCAGAAGGTGCTCACTTGCTGTCAAGCATAATAATCATAATGTGCATCGAAGTTGGGATCTTTTCTACTCAAAGGAAAAGAACATGAAGGGGCTGATTACGGTTTCTTATTTTGATTTACGTTACTTCCATTTGCAGCTGAGTATGAAGGCTATGGAAACGAAAGCATGTTGGAGAAGCCAGATGTGGAGAATATTGGAAAAGATTATGCTAAATCTGATAATTTGTTGGACAAAGAAGTAGTTGGTTCGAGCGATCCTTCTGACACTAAAGTTGGATCAAATAGTGGCTCCTCAAGGTATAATAATACAAGGAATTTTGAGAAGGAACACGATGAACGTGAGATTTCATTGAATCACTCTATTCATACTGAGGCGAAAGAGCTTTTTGCAGTTGGTCTTCATGTCAACAGAAGCAAAGACAAAGTGGTTAACTTAGTAGAAAGTGATCAAGAGGGGCCAGTGTCTCAAATCAGTACTGATAAAGGGTCCAAATTCTCTGGAAGAATGTCTGATTGGCAAAACGGGGAGAGAGCTGAGATTTGGAGAAGGTCACAAGCTGATATTGAAGGTGTGAGGTTTTCTACTTCAAACTATCCAGATGAAGCGACTTCAAGTAGCTATTCTGGTTTTCCATACAGTCATGGGCAGCCATGGAGGAATCAAAGAGAATTTGATAATGCAAATAGGGTTCAGAACCTTGAGCAAGATCGAGCCGAGCTTCTAAGGAAACTGGATGAGTTAAAGAATCAGCTCGGTCAGCCTTCTGACATGGCCAACAACCCTAAAGAAGAGGTTCATGTTGATGAGAGGATGATTCCTCCAGATCCATATGGTGGCTCCTCTAATGCTTGGCTGCCCGGAAGATTGTCTGAGTTGAATGGGACTTCAAGGCAGTTTTTTCGCCCTGATAATCATCCGGTTGGTCCTTCTAATTTCAGCTATCATCACCGACCATTTGCTTATGCAAATGATCATCAAATGGCTATGCCTAGCTTTCATCCTTCAATGCGTAATGCTGATTCCTTCCCTGCATATGTGGATCCCTTTGCACCTCAAATTCATAGGAAAAATCTACATCAGTTACCTCATCAGATTCCACAACAACCATTCCATCCCTACTATCCCAGACATTTTGTTGACACTAATCCTGATTTATATGAACCTTATGCGCATAATACGATGCTTCACCCTCCTTCTTGCTCCTGCTTCAATTGCTATGAGAGCAGACGAAGAGTTCCAGCACCAAGGCCACCTACGAAACCCATTAATAGTAGATTCCCTGAAACTGCTATCCCAAATGATCATATTTCATATCGTTACAAGGTCCCAAGGGCATATGGTTCACATGCTCATAATTTTAGAAGCACCACTCGCCCCATGAATTTTCTTGAAAGACACCCACCTTCAAGATGGTCTGGTGAATTCAACTCTGAGATGGCTGAATATTTCCGAAGTCGTTTTCAGAAAGTGGTGTTAGCTGGTGGTAGTCATCACTGCCGTCCTATAGCTGGCGGATCCCCCTTCATCACGTGTTTTAATTGTTTTGAGCTATTGCAACTGCCTAAAAAAGCATTGGTTATGACAAAAAATTGTCCGCAGAATGTGCGATGTGGAGCATGTTCCTCGGAAATTAGCCTTTCTGTGATTGACAAGAAGCTAATTATTTCTCCTCATACAGAAATTAAGGGAACTTCTACAAGTGTAGATGATAGTTCTGATGAGTTTGCGAATAGCTGTGAATCACATTCCCATGGTCATCTTAAGAGTAATGGTGCTAACTTCTCATCTGATGATTATTCTGGCTATGATTTCCACTCGGTAGATAAGGAACCTGTTCTGCTGGCTGCTGACCCAAGCTTGAACTCTGGCAAGTCTCAGGAGACTCCAAGTTTTCATTCTTCATCTCTCAATACATCTGAAGGCAAAATAGTCCTGAAGTTATGATTGATCCATGTGAGGTGATTCAATCCATTCAGCAGCCAACTATGGACTCTTTGTCTTCACCACCTGCTGGCTCAGCTCTTAAAGATTATTTTGATTATTCTAATAATAACCATGCAGTAACTCAATTTGAGAAAGGCAATCGAAGTAGTCGCTTAGAGCAAGAGAAGGTTAAAGTAGACAAGATTAAAACAAGACAAAATTCTTTGAAAGATGTAGTGCTTGCAACTGAGATGGATATCCATGATTATGGTAACACTGGAGTCTCTGAGGAGTCTAGTGATGTGAGCCGAAAACACGATCAACCTAAAGCGAATAAAGGAGGTGACTCATTCATTGCAAACATTATAAAGAAAGGTTTCCGAGATTTCTCCAGATCCCATGATGAGCGAGAGAGAAGTAATGTCACAGTAAATGGGCAACCCATACCAAGTTCTGTGATTAAAAAGGCTGAAAAGCTAGCTGGACCAATTCAACCTGGAAGCTATTGGTAAGTATGCTTTAAAATCAACTGCTATGTTTTATTTGCACACCTTACTAAGTCATATCCAGATATAGTCAAGCACTCTAATGAAATTAAAATGGTATAACAAGGATCAAAATCAGCTCAGATTTTGAAAATAGATTCTGTGCTTTCTTATGGACCTAACCTATTAAGCTTCATTGAAGTTTCAGTTTGCGGAACTTTTTGAGATTGTTGCTTCTCACGGATTCAGCGTTTCAGCTAATCTCTTATCATCTGCAACTGTTCATACGCAAAGTCACATTTAATTTTCTTCGTTTGGGTTATAGATGAGCTGTACCGAAATACTGTTTAAATGGCTTGTACCAAAGCTTTTACTGTATCTTATTTACAATTTATATGTTGTGTTCTTATACGGTTTTACTAATGGATCTGCCTACACATTCCTTAGGTATGACTTTCGGGCTGGTTTTTGGGGTGTCATGGGTGGGCCTTGCCTTGGAATAATACCTGTAAGTTATTATTAACCTGCCACATCCTATGGACCCATATACTTGACAATCCAATCAATGTTACTGAATAAGTTGATTTTTCTTGCAGCCGCATATAGAAGAGTTCAGCTATCCCATGCCAGAAAATTGTGCAGGTGGAAATACTGGTGTATTTGTGAATGGGAGGGAGCTACATCAAAAAGACTTGAATTTGCTTGCTGGTAGAGGGCTTCCCACTGAAAGAGATAGATCTTATATCATTGAAATTTCTGGGAGAGTCCTGGATGAGGACACAGGTGGTGAGTTGGACTGCCTTGGCAAACTTGCACCAACGTAAGTGCTGAGTTTCTGATGAGTTATTTTTATTTGAATTCACTTGTCTTATTTACCTGAGGCAGTAGAATGCTGTTTTCATTCATAAGAACTCAAGGTTGTTTCATTTTTGACTGACTTGTCATAAAACAGAGTGGAGAAAGTGAAGCATGGATTTGGCATGAAACCACCCAGAGCAGCTTCTTAATCCAAGTGTGGACGATAATCCGTTTCCTATTACAGATTCAAGAAGGAGGACTATGCTCCTTTCTTTTTCAGAATTGCAAGATATTATTTGGGATCAGACCACAAATTCAATTTTGAAATTCCACCGGATTACTGGAAATTTTGTCTTGTTATTATATGTTTGTGTGCTTGGATTGCATATAGAAGATGGCTCCAAGTTTCCTTTAGATTTATTTTATCTTAATTCTAGGCAATATTGAAAGTTTTGGCATCTTGAATCTTGATGTGAAAGCTTTATAATTTGTTTCATCAATAGTTCTAGGATTGTTATTTGCATCCTTGTCTATCATCAAAAATTGTAATTTTTATGGTCTGAACTTGTTGCAAGGATCAAAGTAAAATTTCTGTCAATATGATACATAGTCCCAAAATAATGGGCAAATAATTTTAAGACTTCTGTCACCGAATTTAAAGTAGAAACGAAAGAATAATGATGGGGAATGGGATCATTAAAACATCGAAATGGCTCCCAACCATATCAGTACGGGAACATCTACTCAAGAACATATTTAGCAGTTCTAATCAGAATGCCAAAGAAATGCTTTGTGTTATAATACTATGTCCGGTCCTAATTATAAGAGTTAGTTGACTAATTTGAAGAGATTAAGGAGATAAGTTAAGTTAGTTATTTATAATAAATAAATATTGTCTTTTCTAAAATATCCTTGCTAATCAAGTATAGTGGTTAGAACTATCGTTATTAGAAGGAATATTTTAGGAAAAAATGGATAAATATGAGAGATAAAGTGGATTGGGATCTTAAATTTAGAATCAAAATAAAAATGAAACAAGATCTTGTATTAAGAATAGGAGGTAGTGCAATGTAAATGTGGGGAAATAAATCAATAATTGCTCGATCCTCAGGCCAGTGGCATTGTAATTGGGATAACTTCTTGTTGACAAGTTATAGGAGAATTTCCGAATGAGTCACGAAATCTTTGAATTCTGTCAGAAAGAAAATAGACTTAAAATATTTTGAAATTTAACATTTTATTCCCATTTTAAACTCTTGGGCAACCTTCTTCTTCTTGTTTTTTTTTTTTGGTACAATGGGCTACCTTCTGTCTTAACTACCTCATGCTTGAAAAGCCTAGCATGATGAGCCTTGGTCCTAACTAAAATGGACCAGCCCAACTAGGCCCAAGAAGTATTGTCAGAATCACCTGGGATTACATGACTACCAGAAAGATTACTTCCTGCCTAAATTGGATCCTTTGAGTTTGGTGAAGCAGAGGTGATTACTTTCGCTATCTTATCAAAAGATTAGTGAATTGGTTACTAATCTCTCATAACGTAATAAATTACGGTTTGAACTTTCATTAAGAGATGTGTCTATATTTAGTACCCGATCGTATTTCGAATAAAATTGTTTCAAATAAGAGAATGCCTATACTTAGCAAAAAAAAAAAAGAGAGTTTTATAAAATTTGTACTCTTGCTACAGTTAAATATACTCATGAGATTTTCAAAAAAAAAATTTTCCCAATAAAATAATAAAGCCCAGGTTGATGGTGGGTCCGGCAACTTGCAGAAGAGCATGAAATGATTGGGGCATAAAGCATAAAATGCGCAGGGACAAAGCTCACCGGTTGTTGGGCGTTCACATCCAAATAACTTCGGCAGTGGTTTTGCTTCTGGAAATATTACACCTCGGACCCGATTTGCAAATTTTATTCAGTTCACCCCTGATTCTTAAAAAATCTTTGTATTGCGATCCTTGACATGCCGAAGACATGGCCAAACAGCATTGCAAATAGTACAGGTTGCTAATTTTGGCTAAATAATAATGTTTCATTTCCATATCTAACAGAAAACCCAGGACTAGGGTTCACAGTAACAGGTTTCATCTGGGCTTGGTGGGAAGAAACATGAAGACAGTGTCCAACAAGACAACAAACATATGACAAGAATTTTCAGACGTCAAAATATATTATGTGAATCAAATTTTTCTTCATGATGCAAGCATGCACGAGGCTTTCATTGGTAATCCAAAGGCCACCCAGTATAGTTTTCAAACTTCGAGAACTGAGATTGATGTATCATGTGATGAATCATGAACTAAATGAATAAACAAATATATATTGGTTCTGATGATAGAGTAGAAACATAAAACCATATTTCAATGTGAAAACATTAAAGCAAGAGATTCTGATCCAGCCACGGACATCCTTCCTGTTTTGCTTCCTATTTAAATAATATGAATGTGTGTATGTGTGTATGTCCATGTTCTGTTTCTTTGTCGCTTTTCGCCTGGTGATATATGGACCAATTTGATAAGCCACTCTCACCCATTTTGATGTGTTTTTCCTTTTCCCTTGTTGGTTTTCCAATCCATTATTACTATTTCTCAATTCTAGTTTTGCATATCCAGTGACACATATTTATAACTTTCTTTCGAGTGACGAAACGAGTGGAAAACGATGGATGGAAGTAATGATAATGGTGATATAAATAGAAGAATAAGAGAGGTCGTCAATGAGAGAAGCTGGGTAGGTGAATTTTAAAGAGGGCATCATCTTCCTCATTAAGGCAAACCCAATATTGGGCCCCACGATCATCAGCTTCCCTTGAAGTATTCCATTATTTCCTTACTCTCTCTCTCTCTCTCTATATATATATATATATATATTGTAACATAACTCCTTCACCTTCATTTTATTAAGCACCTTATTGTTTCTTCTCTCTCAAGCATGCTCCATAATCACATTCCCATAACACTTTGAATATATAAAGGTTTGTTTCCAGATGAGCGCTGCAGTGAACAATATTCGCTCAATATTTTATTAGACAATAAAGACATTCATCATGTGATTAACCCTTTTCTCCAGTTCAAATTGAATATTTGAAATATCATCTTCTATATCATTATATATATAATGATATCATAAAATTTGACATACTTGCAGATAATTATAAAATATTTATAATTAATATGCATGTCAAACATAAATAATACGTACTGAATTTCACGGAACCAAATTATCCTGCTGATGCTTCGTATGTACGTAGTGGGGGTGGAAGTGATTATGCATGAGAAAAGGAAAAGTGAACAAGAAGCTTCCAAAGAACCTTACTGCACAGAGCGCTTAGGTAGATACTCATATCATAACCATGAAAAAGTAAAGAAGTCCATATCTTCAAATATTCGAATAAAGTTTGTCTGCAATAAGCAATGGAAAATAACGCCCAAGGGCCCCAAACAACTCAAAATATTTTAGTTAAAGAATCTCAATTAATGTCTGAATTTTCAGCTTTGTGACTGGCTGGCTTGTAGCGATCCTACTGCCATGAAGTTGGTATATAGCTAAGCCTGCCACAGCCAAGCTTGACTTCAAATGTTTGTGTGGTCTCTATTGTATTGCCATGCTGTTATTTCCAGTCTCTATTAATTAGTTTTCTTTGGTTTGCATTGAGGCAGGCATCATTGGCTTCTTTATAATGAAATTAAACTTCTGTGTTTTTTTTTTTAAAAAAAGGGCTATTTGAAGACTTAGATCTAAGATGTAGTACTTCCAACTGATAAACACAAGTTGAATGGAGAGTCATGTTCTTATGAATATAATGTGCCTTTGATGTTACTCTAATGAATAAATAAATACTACATTCGATCTTTAATATAAGATCCTGTTTGATTTTTATTTTGATCCTAAATATAAAATCTCAATCCACTTTGTCTCTCATATTTATATATTTTTTTTCAAAGTAGCCCTTCTAATAATAAGAGTTCTAGTCAATACACTTGATTAGCAAGGATATTTTAGGAAAGACAATACCTATTTAGGACAAATAATTAACTCAACTTACTTCTTTAATCTCTTCAAATTAGTTAACTAGCTCTTATAATTAGAACCGGAGGTAGTAGATTATAAAGCAATGATGTAGTTAGCCAGCAACATCAAAGCTAGATTAACCTTTCTTTTGTGTGTGTGTTCGCATGTGGGGTGAGAGAGAGAGAGAGAGAGAGAGAGAGAGAGAGAGAGAGAGAGAGAGAGAGAGAGAGAGATTTGTGAATGTGATGTGAGCAAAAGCTAGAGCTCAAGCCAGCTGGTGCACAAGCAAGCGTATGACCCATCCATGAATTTCAATCACAAATCATTATTCCCTCCGTTTTTTATTGTAAGAGACGAATAACCGAATTACAATGATAAAAAACAGTTAAAATTAGTTAAGAACAATCAATGTGTAAAAAGTATAATTTTTTTTCCAAAAAACCTCTCATTAATAAGGAGAGAGCGCATGAGAGACAATGGTAAATTATCAAAGAAAAAGAAGTGGGAAGGAGAGTGTGAGTTGGAACAATAAATATGGGTAAATAAGAATCAACACAAAAAAAAGAGATAACTTTTAAGTGTCTTTTATATATAGGAACATGCCATAAGCATCAAATGTCTCTTATAATAAGAAACAGAAAGAGTAACATTAATCCTCTTTCCTGTCTTTGAAATTAAAAAAAAAAAAAAAAGGCTTCGACACCCTCTCAACTTCCTCATACTCTTCAAAATACCATTCAATTAAATGATTCTTATTTATCACTAACGATCATGAAATTAAATTATTTACTCTAAATGACTACATCTTTCATTACGATCCTTTTTAATTTGGTCAAAATATTTCGTTATTACTTCAGATGGCTAAACAAATCAACATATCGTCAAACGCCAAAGTCAGCAAGCTTATTACGCACAAATTTTACAAAATCTTGGCTAATTTTAGAATGATCTCTTATATATCTTTTTTTTAAGTTATAAGCTTAAAATATTCTTATAGCATAGAAAAAATCTAAATTATATTTTTTTTAAAAATAAACAATAACTTTTTTTTTGGGAATAAATACTGGACACTATCACTTTAGCAAAAACATTACAAGCTAAAAAAACAAAAAATATACTTTTCTGATTTTATTTATAAGTCACTTTCAACATGTTTTATATAGACAAAAATCCTTAAACTTCGTTAACTCTTATTTAAAATTTAACAACTTTTCAATTTTATCCATATTTAATGTACATTATATTCAGTAAACAAAATTAATACAATAATAAATGAAGGGTAATTTTGTACATTCATACAAAATTTTTTTTCTTAATACCCTATTATAGGATCAAAAAATATCTTTTCTCTCTGTCTTATAAATAAAACAAGAGGAGTAACAAAAATAACAACCTAAGTAACTTCCCTCATCATCCGCCGCCTGGAAAAATCGGAGGAGGGTGATCATAAACGATAACTTAAGAAGACTGATTGAACCTTTATTCGTTAAAATTTTTTATTTTCAAGCCTTTTTTTAAAGTTTCAGCGAATGGGCACGTTGTGGCAATCTGTACGTTTATTTTATTTTTTATAAGATCGAAAAGAGAAACCACTCCTTTCTTTTAAATGAATAATAATTAATCATTGCTTAAATGATCTCCATGCTAAGCATAGTTTGGTTGGTCGAGAAGAATGCTTAGTTTTTTTTTTTTTTGGTCAAGAGAAGAATGCTTAGTTAATTAGTCTCTGTTGCTCTTACCTGTCCTTCTTCTTCCCCTTCCTCAGATTTTCATGGTTTCTCTCAACTCCAAATGATGAAGGAAATAAGGTCCGCTTCGAACCCATTTTTCCCTCAAAAACACAAAAACCAGGCCTTTCTCAAGTGCTTACTCTCATTTTTCTTGGTGGGTCTCGCTATTCGCCTTCTGTTGTCTGATTCTTTCAGCTTATTCTTAGTGGTAGAGACACCTCTTGCTCCGAATAACGACAAAGCAGAGTCCCCTGTACTTTCTCCTCCTCCCCCTCAAGTTCCTGATTCTGTTGATTTTCCGGCAAACCAGAGCCAAACATCCCAGAAAGGTGAGGAAATTTTCAGTTTTGGCCCCCAAGTGTATTGTTCACCTTGATTCCGGTAAGACATGCATTAAGTGGAATATAACTCTTGTTATTTCAACTTATCTCATTTTTGTCTGAAACACCAAGACGTTGCATATTCTGTCGTATTGCAGAGTCAGTTACTGTCCGTTATTCTTAAGTTTCAATTCCGGGGAACGCAACGAATCTGAGGCTTTCTGGTTAAGAAGCAGAAATGCAAATACCAGAATATAACAAGATATACAGTGTTATTAGCCAGACAACATAAAGCTTCGTCTTTTAAGTACTGATGCTTCAAAATTTTCCAGTTTTTGATGTTGGGAAATGGCTTTTGCCCCCGTTAAATCATTAAATTAGTATCAAAACAGCAATCACACATGGGCACAAGTATTTCTGATTCTCGCTTTCGATTTAGGTGATTTTACTTGCGACTTTATTAAGTTAACGATTGGAAAGTGATTAGTAAGTTTCAGTTAAAGCATTGAAACTGTAGAAGCACAGAGTTAATGATACGATCAATTGTTGGATTTTCAGAAAGACGTGAATTTATTGAATGTACCCTTTTTGGGTTCGTAGCAAATACTTGAAAAGAAATTTTTCTAAATCTGATCGAATATCAAATGCTATTTTTGGTTATCAAGTGATGAATGTCCATTAAAAATATGCAGTTTCAGAGAAATGTGACATTTTTGTGGGTGACTGGGTGCCGGACCCATCTGGTCCAGTGTACACCAATGAGACCTGCATTGAGCTTGAAGATCATCAAAACTGTATGAGAAACGGACGTCCTGACACAGGCTACCTGTACTGGAGGTGGAGTCCAAGGGACTGTGAATTACCCAGATTCAATCCACAAAAATTTCTTCATCTCATGAGGGATAAATCCTGGGCTTTTATTGGCGATTCCATCTCTCGTAACCATGTCCAGTCCCTACTTTGCATACTCTCACAGGTAAAGTTACATTTTTTTGACCCGCTTTGCCCGTAATTTGGTTCGAAATCGTTGTTCTTGTTTGGTAATTTCCTTTTCGAATTTTGTCTGAGACAAGCCTTTACTTCTCTACTAATTACATTATCGTTTATTACTTACTGTAATATGTACATCAGTTTCTTTGTCTTCACTATTTTGGAGGAAATTTGTGTGGACTGTGTTTAATCGGACTTCCCTTTAGCATTTTTCAATCCAGTAAAAGCCAATACCTGCGATAAAGGGACTCTGTTCATAAAAATATCTGAGATCTGAGACATATTCTGCGTTCTGCACGCATCTGCTTAATCTGATTTGTGTATAATTGATAGGTAAAGTGAGAGTAAGAATATGTCAATTTGAGCAATTTAATTTGCAGTGGAGGACAGCTAGCATCTTCATCCTTGGTCCACTGCTTTTAAAGATGGCATAATTTCCTTTTCCAGGGAGGTTTACCTACCATAATCATGGAAAGACCCGGGAGATTTCATGGTTTATTAACAGTTCCTTCAAGATTAGTTTTGGGATTAAAAGTGCGAACTGCCAAATACGAGGGAATGAAATTGAAAAAACAAATGTGCAAGTGCATGTGGTAAAATTTTCAGAAAGACTTATATCTAACATTTAAAAGTTTATCCAAGATGAACTTGACCGGTTTGTTTTTGGTTTGGTTATAGCATATGTACGAATGAATGATCTAAAATGCTGAACCTTGGGACGTGATTGCTTTTGTCTTGCTTAGTTGATCGGCATTATAATAGTCCATAGATTTGTCCCCACATATGAACCTGGCTTCCCTATTTGCAGCCCTGTGGATTGTCTCCTGTTTGCTGCAAACATGGTCCTACAAAGCGAGAACATGACCAAGTTTCTCTCATTATTGTTGTGCAGGCGGAACCAGCTATTGAGATCTACCACGACGAGGAATACAAATCCAAAACATGGAAGTTCCCCACTCACAACTTCACACTCTCAGTAATATGGGCCCCTTTCCTTGTAAAATCAGCCATCTTTGAGGACATAAACGGAGTTTCCTCTTCAGAAATACAGCTTTATCTGGACAACCTCGACGACAAATGGACCAACCGGTATGAGGATTTTGATTATGTTGTAATTGCTGGTGGCAAATGGTTTCTCAAGAGTGCAATATACCACGAGAATGACACTGTCACTGGCTGCCATTACTGCCCAGGAAAGAATCTAACAGAGTTAGGATTTGACTATGCGTACCGGAAAGCATTAAAACTGGTGTTTAACTTCATCACAAACTCTCCCCACAATGCTAATGTTTTCTTCAGAACCACCACACCGGACCACTTTGAGAATGGAGAATGGTTTAGTGGAGGGTATTGCAATAGAACAGTGCCCTTCAAAGAGGGTCAGATTGATCCCGTAGATGTAGATTCCATTATGCGTGACATTGAGCTAGAGGAATTTGAGAAGGCCGCATCCATAGGATTCAACCATGGCGCAACTTTGAAACTTCTGGACACAACTTTTCTGTCACTCTTAAGACCGGACGGACACCCGGGGCCGTACCGGCAATACCAGCCATTTGCAAGGGATAAGAATGCTAAAGTTCAGAACGATTGTTTGCATTGGTGCTTGCCGGGACCGATTGACTCATGGAACGATTTGGTAATGGAAATGCTTGTCAAAGGCAGATAATATTGAAGCTCAACAATGTGCTTGGGTCGGTGTGGCTTGTAGGAAGCACAGCTTTGATAATCTGCAGCTGACGCTACCTGCTACCTTGTAGTTTATTGCAAAATATGACGATTGGGGTTTGTGTTCATCGGAGGAAATGCAAGAAAGGTTTCGTTTTGGAGAAAATAGGCCATTCATGCCTTTTGCTTTGCCTTGTTTGCAAACTGAAATTTCAACCTGTAATTTTATGAAATGGCAGCATAAGAAAATAACTGGCCTTATGAGTTATAGTATAATGCGCGGCATTTTTTTTCTTCAATCATTTATCTTCCAAGAATTCATTGTTTAAGCACAAACATGTTCAACTTTCAAAGCCAATTTTGTGGGCCATCTCAAAGGCATTTGGATTCTCTTCCTGCGCAACAATCCTGGCCCTCCACTCTCGTCTAATTCCAACAGTCTATTTTCTAATTCTAATTCTTCAAAACTACATATGATAAAGATTTTAACTTTTATCATACAAATATCTTCTTACATATTTTCTTGGCAAAAATATTACATGTTTACATTTCATTACATAAATTTATTTTTCTTAATGAAGAGACAATCTATGCTTTATGATTTTCCTTTCTCCATAATTAAAAAAATGGCTATCGGAAATTAAAAAAGAAATTGCAATTTGGTCAGGGTTTTTAAGAGGAAGGTGAGGGAGTAAAGGATAACACTCCCTTTGAATTAAAAAAGATTTTGCAAAGAAATTGGATAGAAACAACCAAGATCAGTGCTTGCTGAAGAAGACAAAGGAGTGCAAGTATTACATCGTCATGGGCGTCAAATTCTTGGTCATTCGTTTTAGTTTTTTTATTAATATACTTTTCCTCAATTTTTGATTGTTCTTGTTATCCTGTTTTAGGTATGATAGAGCTTAATTATGACAATTTCTTGAATGTCTTTCTAGGAATCGAATTAATGCTGCTTAATGATGTTCAAGTGGATGATCTTTTTCTAAGGAGTTGAGGTAGTTGTGCAAAAAGAGGATGAGGACGTAAACAGGATCATGAATGTCCTTCAAGTCCTGCTTAAAAGTCCAAAGGATGAGAATTGTGCAATAGACACTTCCCCAATAAATGAGCTAAACCATATTATAGTTAAAGTCTCGTGAGGCAACCTATTTCACTCTTATTGTGTCGGTCTTTACTAGTGGTCAAATTTAAGGTTGTTCTTGTTAGCTCTTTATAAATTATCTTTCCCTCATGTCTTGGTAATTCTTGTTATCCCCTTTTAGCTATGGTAGAACTTGGTGATGATAATTTCTTGAATATTATTTTGGGATCAGATTGATTCTGCTTAACGATGTCGAAGTGAAAGATCTTTTTCTCGGGGTTCAGGTAGTTGTACGAAAAGAGGATGAGGATGTGGATAGTAATAAACTAGTCATAAAGCGATCAATTTCCAGAATTATTTTCCACGGAATAGAGTGAACAATCTTATGTTGATCTCTTGATAAGTAGCTCTCAAGAATTTTTGGCAATTGTTATAAATTAAAACTAGAAGTGATTAATGAAGGAATTAGATTGAGATAGACTAGATGAACTGTTTTTTTGAGTTTTTTGTTTTATGACAAAGTGGAAAACAACAATGTAAATGATTAACAAAATGTTGATGAAATAAGAAGAAATCACCTCCTAAAAGTTATATTTGGCCATCATTGCTCATTAAAGATAAGGAGTCAGCAAGTGGATGAAAGTATTGTGCAATTAACCATTCTGAAAATAGAGAAAACTTCCTCTGCCATGATTTAGTTGTTTAGAGTGCTACACTTAAGTCTACTGAAATCAAGCAACACTTTAATCTACTCAAAAGCAAGAATAAACATGGAATTACATAGTACGAATAATCCACAAATCATACTCCATTCTAAATGACAGAACACATTTTATCAGCAAGTTTAGATCTAAATTACAACTAGCGATTAAATCTAAACTACAAAAATCAAATGGAAAATGTGAATGAAGATTCCATATGCATCATAATAGCTCAGGTCATGGCTTAACTCCTAGGAAGAATGAAGTCCGGCTACCCATAGAGACTGGATCTGCTACACTTGGCTGAAAGCTTGAACCTTCCATAGATCTGATCTTTGAAATGGAAAGTCTTCAAGGTAGAAACTCAGAGCTGGAATTCGATCAGAAGAGAATTAGAAGAGAGAAGGAAATAGAATGCGTCTGGATGAAAGTGAATCTGAGTGTGATGAAGTGACATAGCTTCTCTTTTATACATTTCGGCCTCTTCAATTCTTCTTATTCTCTTTGATTTTTAGTTGAAAATATTTCTCTATAACTTGCTTTCTACTGAATTTGATTAGCCCAGCTGGAAAAATGAATTAATTTTAGTTACTTCCTTTACTCTTTTTTGTTTAGGTGTTGATTTGAGTTTGGATGGAAAGTTAATTCTATTAGTGATGGAAATCCGACTCTTACCTTTGAATTTTCTATCTGTTCACTTCATCTCCCTTGCTCATTGGAATTCCTTTTGAGCATGCGTTTTTCAAAATTACCCTTGAGTTCACAACAACACATAAAACAACACATGTCCTGTTTGAGAAAGAAGCTAAAATGCTACTATAAAATCCATTTTTATCCATGAAATCCAATCAAAAAATATTTGCCATATTTATTCCTGATTTTTACAAATACCATAGAAATAATCTCCCAAAATCCTAATTAAAACACATGAGAATATGAGACTATCAAATATAATCATAAATATCCTTCAAGTCCTTCTTGAGGTAGGGAATGAGAGTTGAATTATATGCACTTTCCCGATTAGTGAACCTGAGCATGTTATCATTAAGGTTCCATGTAGTTACCTATTTCACCCTCATCGTGTCCGTTTCTAATACCAATCAAATTCTTTGTTGTTCTTATTAGCTTTTCATGAATTTTCTTTCCTTTATTTCATTCTAAAAGAGAAAATTCATAAACAAGTCATTTACATTCATTTAGAAGTAGACAAACAAAACCTCCAAACTTGTACATATAGTTAACCTACTGATCATTTTCATTTCAGCTCCCTAAAGTGATACGACTCAGATTGTGCTATTTTATTGCATATTTCTTTACGGTTATCTGTTTTGAACCCCTAAGGTGATTAAAGGAAGAGTTCAAAGAACCACTGAGAATTTGACTGATATCATAGATGAACATAATAAGAGTGAAACAAGTGATCTTACAGGACATTAACTACAATATGAGCCGGCTCAATTATGAAAAAGTGCATATAGCACAATTCTCATCCTTTGGACTCTTGAGGAGGACATTCATGACATTCATGACCATGTCCTTCTCCTCATCCTCTTCTCGCATAGTTACTTCGATCTCCTATAAGAGATTTTCCACTTAATTGCTGCTAACTCCTAAATCATCTGGAATGAGGAAAGTCTAAGTCATTGTGAGAGAGAAACTTTCATTTCATAGTTAAACTCTTAGTCTAGGCCTAAATGGATTAATACATACCAAGCCACCTTGAATATGAATTAACCACAAATAGGTTGATTAAGCACAATTAGCAGAATTGGAATCAAGAATTGCTTTCAACATATAAAGAAATCTAACAATTAAGCCACCTTAGAATGCCATTAGATAGTCTAAACAATTCCAAAGCAAAAGCTAGACCAAGTCAATTACAAAGGATTGAAGATATGAAGTTCAAATGCCAAAAACAAATCTTGAAATTCCAAAGATACACAATTAAATCTCTAACACAAATATAATCCAATACAATCCATCTACATATCAAATAGCATTTTTAAGACCTAAGAATTATTAAAGAATGAAGAAGAAGAGATTTAACCAGTTGAAACTCTCCTAAATTGCTCCAAGCTCTAGCCATTGCCACTGTGAGAGAAGAATGAGGAACTTAGCCACTCATGGACGAAATCTTCACTTGACCAAGCTCCAATGGACGTCATGGTAGATTCAAGAAGAGATGTGAAAATAGTGATGGAAATGAGAAAGAATCAGAAAACGCAGAGAGAGAGAGAGAAAGAGAGATGTCAGAATAGAGAGAAAACGATAGAATGTGATGATCTGAATCTTCTAGAGCTTATATTCCTCCAATCTTGAAGTGTCTAGGCAAATTTTACAAGAAAAATGCCAGCTGGATTAAGCAAGTGGATGTTGCTATGATATTTTCTTTCCTCCCCTGAATGCGTGATATTCTGCAGATTTGAATCCAGATTTTGGTCCTTTCCCCGCGGCGAAGCAAAATGATTGTCGCAGCAAACTCAAAATGACAGCTTTTAAATTAGTGGATTTGCGTCCCTTATTTAGAGATGTTTCTGTGACGAACCTTGGCATAATCATCTTTCTTTGATTTCTTCAGCTTTTATCCACCTGCATAGTCAAATTGAGCTCATGTTCATCTAATCCAAAGTATATAAGATACATAAGAGCTGATGAATGAATAAAACTCAAGATTTATCATATAAAAACACATAATTGACTTAGCCTTGATACATAAAAACCTCTAACTTAGCCTGATTACACAATTAAAATCCACAAATGCAAAGGTTTGCACTAGGAAATATGGTTGAAATATAAGACTTGTCATTCTTGCTAGCATTTTACAAATATGCTTTCATTCATTTCTTGGTTATTCTTGTATCATTTTTCAGTCATGGAGAGCTTGATAATGATAATTTTTTTGGAATATTTTTTAGATGAAATTAATGCCACTTGATAATGTCAAGGTGGAGGATCTCTCTTGGAGAGTTAAGGTAGCTGCGTAGAAAGAGTATGAAGAGGTAGAAGGATCATGAATGTCTTTCAAATCCTTCTCCATAGCCTAAAGGATGAGAATTGTGCTATATGAACTTTTTTCAATAAATGAACTGAACTATATTATAGGTAAAATCTTATGTGGTTATGTATTTCATTCTCATCATTACGCATGTCTTTGATACCAATCAAATTTTGTCGTTTTTGTTAGCTCTATGAATTTGTTTTCCCTACTCTCATGGTTATTTTGTTATCTCCTTTTAATTGTAGTAGAATTTGATGATAACAATTTCTTAAATATCTTTTTAGGGATCAAATTAACGACACTTGACGATGTTAAAGTGGATGATATCTTTTAAGGGGTCGAAGTTCCTATGAAAGAAGAGAAAGAGGAGGTGGACAGATTCATAAATACATTTCAAGTCTTTCTCAAATACTTAGATGATGGGCAAATAAGCCTTTGAAATTTTAATGTATAATTTCATTAAATAACACCACAAAAAATAACTATAATGCCTTAAAATTTGGTTTAAGAAAAAAAATTTGAGTGTTTAGACTTATATGCTTAATATTTCCTCTGTCTCTTATTATAATATTCAAATTTCACATTGATTGCCTCTTTTTACAAATTTTTTGGGTTTATCTAAACATTAAATATACTTTCATCAATTTTATTTTTAATTAATATACTCTCGCTTGTTATCTTTTTCCTATACATTTTCTTTTATCTTTTTTTACTCTCACATATTCACTTGTAAATAAAGATATATTTGAAAAAATTAAATTATATTTCCTATGTACTCATAATTTTAAACTAATTTTAATACTTTGAGTCAATATAATCTTTAGTCTTTCAAATTTGTTATCATTTTTTTTTAATTCATCAAGTTTTAAACTATAAGTTTTAAACCATCAATAGGCAAAATGATCCATATTTTTATTAAATTATAAAAAATAATATTTTAAATTAAAAAAAATTGAGAGACTAAAACTAAAATTAAAACACACTTAAAGGGCCACAAAATTGTATTATCCCTATTGCTCAAATTACAAAATTCGGTTGAGGGACAGTGGAAGCATATTTTTGTCCAACTAAACTAAGGCAAGTGAAATTTAAAGTGTTAATAATATTAACAAAAAGGTTGGCAGAAAGAATTTGTTATAGGATAAATAATAGTAATACATTAAAAAAATTTACATATATTGATCCAATTAAGATATAAATTAACTACATAAGTCTTTTTTCTTTGCTTAATCATTCATGTTCAACATTTTAACGTTCCAAGCATCAAAATACCTGCATGAAATACGTCCAACCTTCATTCACAAATTGGGGGCCACCTCAAAGATTGAAATTCTCTTGCTGCGCAACAATTCTAACACTACACTCTCTTATAACTGCATTTGTCTTTTGTCTTATCATTCTATTTTTCAAAACTACAAGTGGGATGATATTTTAAGTTGTACCACCCAAGTATCTGATTACATATTGACATTTCATTACATTAATTTTGTTTTTCTTATTTGAAAGACATTATTTCCACAAAAAAAAGGGCCGTTGGAGATTTAAAAGGGATTAAAATGTCAGTATTGCTGCTCCACCCATTTCTAAGTCAATATCTAAAACATGATAACCGGGCAGCAAGCTTTGATAAATAGAATAAGGAGGGTATTTCACCAAAAAAAGAAAAAGAAAGAAATATTGAACAGATATTTTGAACGGGTATTTTGAACAGATAAAACAACATGGTATCTGGCTTTTCAGAAAGGAAGAGCAGGTCCTCTTAAACTTCTGTAAGCAAAACATCAGATACAGCCATCTGGACAAGGATCCATACCCCAGACTCCATTCAGAATCCAAGAATTATTCACTCAGAAGCACAACTCTCGCAAAACAGCACACAGAGAGATCACATAACAAAAATTAGAAGACATCCCGACTTTAAACCCCTTGAGATCTTTTCTCCTACTTCGTTGCATGTTGATCAGCAAGGTTCCTTTTCTCTCTTTTAAGAAACGGATTCTGCATATTCCATTACCAGAAAGTCAATTACAATCACCAAAGGGAATTAAAATAAGTATGCTTTGTGCCAACAGCCAGCAATATACACAACGTAGCAGTTGCCAGAAACCCAACTAAATCTCAACATTAGAATCGGACAAAATTTACTACAGAAAAAGAAAAATTTATAGTCGACCCTTCATTTTAAAGGAAACATTCTGATCTCTCTTTTTCTTTTTCCTTTTTTTTCCCGAGTGAAAATAACTCATTCTGATTTTTCTGCATTTCATTCCACTTTAACATTTATACTCCGTTCTTGTTTTCTGATTAACAAAATCAAGGAAACTGTAGAGGCAATTGTATATTTTCTTGCAGATGCAGGTTGTATAGTTCCACAATCTGCTTATTCGGTCAATCAATGGAACCTCCAAATGTGATGTACAAATAGGTCTAGGTCGCAGACTAGAGGGAACAAGGTCCAGTTCTTACGCTAATATGCCTTGCTTGAACATGCACACACGTGCACAAGCCAAAACATACTATGATATCTCCCTGTTTCTAGTGACGCCTAGTGATCGAAAGCAGTATCTAACTTAGACAGGCCTCGGGTCAGATAACATTGATACTCAAGTTTCAACTACAATCAGCACAAGATCAAATCAACCACGTCAATCAATCAGATACAAAGACTTCCATGCGAATAGCCAACCCTGTAGATCATCAACCTCGTAGTAAATCATCAATCCTTTTTGTAGGCTACTTTATCTTTAATTTGTGAGACAAAAGTAGCAAAACCCTTGCGAAAATTCACAAAGATGTCGCCCCAGAGCACAACAGAAAACAAAAATTCACATTTCCAGGTAAAATAAAGCAAGAAGCTCTACAACTTAAAACTCATATTTGAATTTCATTATTTCTCATTCTGCCTAAAGCAATCAGCAAAGCCAAGAAACGAATCAAAGGATAATTTCCGAGGGTCAAAAGACAAAACTAAAACCATTATACGATAACCAATCAGATTAAACTAGCGGAATCACGAAAGAAAATAAGATCACTTGAACCCATCTATACTCAATAAACAAACAAAACTAACGCTTTCGTACAAATCTGAGATGGGATTAACCACGAAGATTGAGGGTATTGAGAAATAGGAATAGGAGGAAAATACATCGATAACGAGATTAGCGACAACGATGGTGCCAACTATGCCGCCGACAATAGCTGCCGGTCCGGTGAGGAGGGACCACTTTCTGTAAATCATCTTTCTCAGCTTGCGATTCACTCCCTGATTTCAGCTTCCCTTTCCCCAAGCGATGTGAGTATTTTCGGCCGGAAAGGTGGGATGGGCATATATAAGGTATGAAACCCAATTGAAGGTAATGGGCTGAAACCCATGTTTGCAGTTCCCTTACTTTTTTCACGTTGCGATGTCAATTATAGAAAAAAAAAATATTGTTTTTTATACTATCTCTGATTTTTAATATAAAAGATAGTTAACTAATTTAAATAAATTAAAAAATTAATTAAATTATCTATTTATAATAAATATGTGTTTTTTTTTCTAAAATACTCTTGCTAATCATGTGTATTAGCTAGAACTACATTTGATAAAACATCTAACATGCGTAACTATTACAAATACTACCTTGAAAAAATAAATAAGTTTGAGAGACCAAGTAAATTGGGATCATATATTTATGAACAAATTGAATTTTAAACTAACTCTTACATTAACAATTAGAGGTAGAACTTCACATTGAAGGAAATTAGACTATAGGCTAATGCTTGTAAGAAAAGCTTCATATGAATAATATAATTTTTTTCCATAAATTTTTATATGTCACACATATAGATAAGGAAAAAAAATTGTGAAAAAGTCTTTCTTTCATTAAAAATTTTATTGATAAGAAAGACTTGATAAATTTTTATATACAAAAAAACATTAATACTCTGCAAATTTCATAAACACAAAGTACAGGTACTTTGATTTAGATTTTTCTCAGTAATAAAATTCTTAATGGGATACTCCTCCCCATTTTTTCCTAATAAAAACTCATATTAATAAATTAAACTAAGACATAAACCTAAAATACCTGACAGAACAAATAACATCATAAGCGAGAACATTGCTATTTAATTCCCACGTTAACGTAGCTAAGGAGTTAGCAGTTAGCCAACATTTTATTAGCAACAAGTAATACAGTGCAAGACCAATAATGGATTTTAATTTTATCCTGTGATCGTCTGAACAATTATAAGTTGGAAAGCTTCAAATCTCAATTTCAATCTCAATTTCAATTTCAATTTCAAAATCACATGATCATTCAATTTTGAATTCCAACTGCTACCCCTGATCCCAATGTTGCAAACACAGCACAACGTTCAGAATAGGGATAACGGATAGCATTGACTGCAACGGCTCACTACAATCCAAAGCATCCTATGGCCTGTAATCTTTTGCAAACACAAAAATATTAGATTACGGCGAAGATTATTCGTGGAAAAACAACAAACATGTACCTAACGGCTCAGGTGGGTCCCATTACAACAAAAGACGAGAGAGGGACAGACATGCACAGTCACATTTACAGCCTCACTGGGCCACCGTACGCCTTTTCTCCATTGTTATATAAAGGAGAGTTTCAGTCTCTGAGGCTCATACAATCAACATATAGCCAAGTGGTTTGAATCTTGTTCATTCTATTCTTTTTCTTGTGGAATTCTTAGTGGTTTGATCTTTAAAGCATGGCGTTTTTCAAGAGTTGTGCTGGAATAGTGGCCATCTCTGCTCTTGTTTTCACCATTTTTATGCCCTTCATCGTTCAAGGCCAATCGTTCCCTCCTGCTCCTTCTCCTGCACCTGGCCCTTCCAGCGATGGTAATGACTCTAATTCTGTATACTTAAAATTCTCATACAGACAATCCAATCTCTCTCTCTCTCTCTCTGTGTCGTCAGAAAAGATTTTCCAATTCTGCACTCAAAATCGAGTTTCAACTTTTGAACTTTTCTAGCGGTTTCCAGCACTGTTTTTTGTATTTCATCTTGACAGGGACATACATGTTTGGAACTCGTAGAGTTCTGTAATTTTTAACTTGCCACATGAATCAGAAGAATAAATTATTGTTAGTGTCGTGCTGATTAATTTTGTTTCTTGATGTTGTTATGCAGGTACCACAATTGATCAAGGGATTGCTTACGTGCTCATGTTTGTGGCACTGGTTCTGACATACCTCATCCACCCTCTTGATGCGTTCTCACACTAGGCACTTCGTAGAAGAACTTCAGAGAGATTGAACATAGTGGGCGGTTTTTTATTATCTTCTCCTGGATAATTTTCTTGTACCTGGAGTCTTTTCATTTTTCATTCTGTTGTTATTTTTTCTTCCATATTTTGCCGGCAGTGGGATTTTTGTGTTCATCTGTTATACCTCTTAATTGAGTAGTAATTTATCGTTACATTTATTCATTTTCAGTTCACGATCGTTCCACTTTTCTAGTCTTTTAGATAGTGTTTGGTACGAAACATTAAAAATAAGGGATAGAAATTAAGATTGAGAAAATAGTATTTAATATGAGAGATTGTTTATTATATAAGATTAGACAAATCTATGTGAGATTGGAAAATACCATGGTGGTATTCTCCAATCCCATTTTTGTGGATTTTGTCTAATCTCATATAATAAGTAATTACTTATACTAAAGATTTTGTTAATGATTAATGATTTTTTTCAATTACAATTCTAGTTCTTACCCTTCATCTTCAATACTTCAAACCAGATGGGACCTTAAGGGATAGGAATACCGATCCGCCTTTTAGTACTTGTCATCCCTATCTCCATCACTTCTCATCTTGCAATCAACAAGGAGTTTATAAACTCTGTGTGAGAGAGAGAGGTTATAAACTTTTGAAAAAAAAAAAAAACATTAATCAGTGAAACATAGATAATGGTGATGTTTATTATTTCTCTAACGGATATGTTGTCAGAATGCAAACAAGTCCAACCACACTGAGGAATCATACAGTTTACCCGCCTCAAACTTACAATTTATAGAGCTAAAGGCAAAATTAGCCAACAAGAGAGGGGGCGGGGGAGTTCACTCTGTCCTCCCCAGAAACAAATGATTTATTGCGAGTTTAGCATCTTTTGCCACTTGAGATCGCAGGAATATACACGTGTAACAATAACATCCGTGCCAATTATTTTGCAAATGAAGGTGATGGGACGTATGGGAGATCAGACGCTTTCAAATGGGAATCATTTGGCCTAGCCTACTCTGACTTCTTACGATGTCAAAACACTGTTGGTTTCTGTTGTTGGGATTGCTTGTCCTATCAGATATAAGCCACTACTGAAGCTAACCCCATAAAGGAAATCAAAGACCCTCCATTCAAATGGGGTTGAAATCCTTAAAGATCAATGCATGTGTAGCCTTATGATGAAGTGTGATGTCTGTAGTATATAGTATACTTGACAACCTCGTAAAAGGAGACAACTATTCCTACCGAAGGGCCAGCGCGACCTACACGAGGGCCAACACCTGTAAATAGCCCTCTTAATCCTCCATCCCTGTACAAAGAACAAAGGTCAGTCCAAAGCATTTTAAGGGAGTCAATTTATGTGATTGGACCAATAACCAATTGAAAAGTCATACCTCCAAATCTCGAGCAATGTTGTCCTTGTTGTCATTTTCAATGCCCGTTCAGGATCCTTCTGGAAAATAGCAAAGATGACATGTTTGTGAACATGTACATTCATCATACTGTTTATATTTTCACAAACTTTTTCGAGGTTCGTCAGTCTCCATGGTTGTCAAATATGAAATTTACATAAAGCCACATTGTTTATTAAATTGTTTATAAAATAGAGACTTATCCCAAACTCCATAAAAAATACATGATCTACAATCTAATTGTTTCTTACATTAAGACTAAAAACTAGGTATCAACTATGGAGGTGAATGGAATTAAAGGGTTGGGTCTATGAGCAAAGTTCGAACCAATTTTGCAGATGTGCCAGTTGATCTTACTCAAACAAAATGATCTTCATAAATTCCAAATTCATCGCACTTGTACGTGGATTTTCATTCAATTTGAATCCCAATGTCATATGTTAATGTGGAATAACTAACAAATTCACTGCACACACACAATTGCTTTAAATTACAGCTCATCTAATGGCGCTAGGAATTTGATTTTGGTCTGCAGTTTGCTATGTATTCTTATGCGATCAGTTGCCCCATAAATTTAACATTTACAAATATAATAGCCTGTGCTTGTCATCGTTTTCTATAATTTTCATCTTTAAGTTTCTGCGTTTTTGTTTGTGGAGGGGCGGTGTTTGCAAGAATAATAATCTATGCTCTGGAAGCTTGGTTCTGAGAAACAACCTCTATTTGCCGTCGAGTTTTTGCCACATCTAGTGGACAAGTGGCAGCAGCAGCCAAGGTCCCAGCAGCAAAACCAGCTGAAAAATTTGCCCCAAGGATAGTGGCTACACTTGCTTCATCGCCCGCCAGACCAAGAAGTCTTCTCCTAATCTGAATTGAATTGCAAGAAAGTGGCACTCAACATATGCACTAAAAGATACCCAAAAAAGAAAGCAGTAATATCTTACTGGCTCAAGGGTTGGCCAGCAAATTGCAGAAAATGGAACATCCCGAGCAAGCTGTGCTCCCAGGCCAGTCCACCAGAAACGGTAGTTATGCACTGTTAAGGATGTCATAAAAATAGCCACTAATTGAGTCAACCAAACGAACTATGTATTGCCTCAGAAAGATGATAAAGTACATCAAAGGAAGCAGTATGGGGCTGGACTTACAGTTTTGAAGGAGGCTTGCGCCATTTAAAGGTTTGATTACTCCAAGCAATGTCTTCCACACGCCAGGAAGCATGCCCTTTTGGGTAGCTCTAAATGCCTAAACAGAGGGGCACAAATGAAAAAACATGAATTACTACTCAACATAAATAAAAATCAAAGCCCTCGAGTTTATTTAGAAGATGCTTTTTCAATGAAGAAAGTATTCATTGGGAGTAAAGCAATAGAGGTTTCAAGGACAGAGGGACCTCGTCAACCAGAATAGCTGAACCAATGCACCAGATTTACACACACCAAAGAAGGAAAAAGAAAAGGTGAAAATGACCAGATAAATCATATATAATGTCGGCAATGGTTTCCATGCTTTTATTCCGGAAAAAAAAAAATGGTCTGTACTTGATGCTTTAAGGTAAATCTCCAACTCTTACGTTGCAGCCAATAGATTCTCAAGAATGGAGACGAAAAAGCACCTTGTTTTTCTTAACCCCCAAACTGAAGCCATAACCTTTTCCTCTGGTTTGAACCCTTCTTTTGAAGGCCAATCCAGAGTGTTTTCCGGCAGCAGTTCCTGAACACGCCCCCCCCCCCCCAAAAAAAAAACCCAAAAAATAAACCCAAAAAAAAAAAATCCTGCCCTAAGGACGGTTAGCCAAACCTTCTTGCTATGTCATGATTTTCTCATATAAATCATGGGCGTCCATTTTTCATCATTGCCTATTACTAAATGACATAATAACCTATATCTCACAAATCACCACACAAAAATTAGCTAGAGCCTTATTAGAGACTACCTGCATACGTGTCCTTGCTAGTTCAACAGGATAACAAGATATACAAGCCAATGACCGTGCTAATGTTCCTGCAGCCAGGGGAACATAGGGTGTTAAGTTTGGAGCATTCTGCGTAGTAAAGTCATCCATCATGTTGCGGAAGATATCATAACAAGGCATGTAGATTCCAACCTAATTGACAGCAAAAATACAATAAAATTAGAATATAACTGCATGCAAGATGTAGATAATGTGTACAAACCAAATGATATCAGGCCCCAAAGAAACCATATGACAATATAAATCCTATACGGGAAAGAGAGCTTACAGATGGCACAGCCAATGCTAAACTTGCGTTTGTGCCTCTCCACAATCTTGTAAATCCTTCCTGCATAAATTAGCTCCTATGATCCTTCTTGTAGTAATCTATATTGACATGCCATTGGAAAAAAAATAGGACTATGTAGTTATTACAGTAGGAAAGCTATAAGAATGCTCTCATCATGACTCATGTATGAAACATGGCATATTACTTTGTGCAGGTTATTCCGTCTGATATTATCAGAAACTTCATGCTAGGTCCGTTGATATAACTCTACATAGTAATAGTGATGGTAGCAAACTTGATGACAACGAGATAATGGAAGATAAGGATGGAATTGATTATTGGTGATATTTTAGAATTGAATTATTATTTAAATGTTTGTATATTGTGGGTAGTGAGTTTTGAGATGCATGCCTTGCGATCCTGCATGGAAACTTGTGACTTTTGAGCATTGAGATGTTAATATATGACGATAGTATTGAGCATGCTTGTGAATTTTATACAACTACATGCACAATTTCAAGTGTTTTCTGTCATTAGTCGGAGGGTCTTGCATTCAATCTCTTTTTAGCCCTTTGGCCTATCATAAGATCTTGACTATAAGAAACAGCAAGGGTTCCTCTGTACTGGATAGTGTAACATCATCCCACAAAAAAGCTGAAATTATTGATTTAATTTGTTCAAGTAAATTTTTCAACATAATTGAAAATCCATGCACTAACCTGACGTATGACTCTGTACAAGACATCAAGGGTTCCTCTGTACTGGTTAGCGTAACATCCCAAACGGCATGCTGATTCTGATTTAGAAAATGCTTGCATAACGGGATATCTTGCAGCCGGTACCCTCTGAATAAAAAGATTGAAAAAAAAAAAAGAAAAAAAAAAGCAACTGTGACTCTTCCCGTTGGTTCAAAGGAAAATATCATTCTGAGGAACTCACAGAAGCAAGAGAAGCAAAATACATAATCAATTATGATCAGACAAATGCCGAAGGGAAAACATGTAATTAATAACCATCAATTTTCAAAGCAAACGCCATTATGCTTCTATGCTTTACAACCGTAGTTGATAAGATATACACTTGTCAATGCAAACTTTCTCAAATAAAATTTTGTGAAAAGCATAACAACTACTTATTATACCGTATTTGTTTCACATCCCATCCGGCAAATGTTCTGATAAGAAACCCCAGCAGCCTGAGCTTGTAGTCTTGTCTGAAAAAAGTTATCACAAAACTTAATGAAACCTCTTAGATTCCTGTTCTTGAACTAAAGATGGACAGAAGAATTAAAGTTAAAAAGAATGAAACACGATGATATAAGATATGGCTAATCTTTTGGGCATTCCTATCAAAGAGAAGAAATATGACAACAATCTTAACCACATACACCCCAAATCATAGAAAACGCAAGCAAAGATACTTCTAGCTTTTACACCTAATGACACTAAAAAAAAATTATTTGTCTTATATTGGAAAACATTTACACCTACAGCACTTCAACAAAGAAGATTTCACCCTCCTTCCTTATCCTGCTGCTCCAAGGACAGAGTTACGATTACCGCAAAAAACTCAAATTTCAAAGAAAAATGCAAAACTAAATGAAAAATTTGAAGAGTCAATTAAACCTAAACCTAATACCTTGGCCACATCCAGTGGATTAACGATGATAGCAGAAACGAAAGCAGCACCAGCGGCAGACAAAGCTCTCTCTCCAAAAGACAATTCAGCATCAGAATGGCTCAGCGGCGGGGCACCCGAAGAGCCACTGTGATGATCACTTGGATCACTGGACGATGACATAGACGAAACCTTCCCCTCAAAATCAACCCTGGTAGCAGCCGCACCAATCCACGAAGGAAAGCCCTGCTTCGAGCCCACCATTCGTCAAAACAAAACAAAAAAAAAAAAATCGATTCTTTGCTGGAAATCAAGTCAAACTCGATCGCTTTGACATATGAGAGGGTCCTCTAAGCTTCTGAGAGAAACGGTAAGAAGCTTTGGCAGCTCCGCCGGAACATTGTGACTTAGCGCCTTGTTTCCTTGTCTCTGCTTCGAGGGGCTTCGCGTTATACATATGTGCATGGGAAATTGGTGGCATAAGAAGAAATTAAGATGAAACGGAGGAAGAGATTCGTGGCGTGGAGTTTAGGACGACGTGTCAAAGAAGTGAGCGCCGACTCTGTAAACCGGTACTCCTTTAACCTTTTTTCTTGTTTATAAGTGTGTTTTATTAAAAAAAATTTAAATTTTATTAATTCTTATTTAAAATTTAATAATTTTTTAATTTTATCCTTATGAGAACAAAGTCAGCACAAAAATTTATTTCTCTAACTTATAAATAAGATCAAATAATCCTTTCTATCTACTCTATAAATAGAGTAGATAATATACTTGCTCCGTTATTAAATGTAAACTTGATAATCAGTTTACAAAAATTAAGAAGAAAAAAACTTAGAAAAACAGACAATAAAATACCTTAAAAATTATTAAAGGACAAATCAGTGGGTGAATTTTAAAAGGAAAAAAGATCCTAAAATTTCCTCAAAAATACTAAATGGCAAATGAAAGTAGGTGAATTTCATAATCATAAATCAGACCCCTGGTACTGTTTTAAAATTTTTAAATCTTATAAAATTACACAAATGCTTTTTTACTATTTTTTTGCTATCTTTTTCAAAAACTGCCGCTTCAGCACTTCCAGCTGCTAAAGACCCTGTCTGTGGCCAACTGTCGGAGCTCCGACAACATGTCATTGAAACTCTAGTGACTGGTCGTCGAAGCTCCGGTGACTACTCTTTTTTATGTATTGATTACTTTTTTTTAGTTATTGATTACATTTGTTTTTAAAATTCTGATGACTACTCTTATTTAGCTACTGACTTGTATTGCAATTAACTACTTTTATTTTTAAAATTTTGATGACTACTCTTATTGAGTTATTGATTATTCTAATTTCACTATTGACTATTTTTGTTTCAAAAATTCAAAAAATGATTTAAGTGTTATTGGTGATCTAGCAATTACTTTTTGTTCAGTTACTTACTACTCTCGTGTAGTCAGTAGCTATGTAAAAATAATCACCGAAACTTTAAAAATAAAAATAGTCAATAGCTAAACTAGAATAGTCAATATCCATATGAAAGTCGTCACCGAGAGTAAGGACAGTGTTGTTGTTTCACAAAATTTGAAAAGTCTAAAATCGTATCAGGGGTCTGATTTGGAATTTTAAAATTCACTTACCCTCATTTGTCTTTTAGTATTTTTAAGGGTATTTTAGTTCTTTTTCCCACTTTAAAATTTCAATTTAGATCCCCCATACCATTTTGGAATTTCAAATCTTGTAAAATTACACAAATAACCTTTACAATTTTTTCTTTTCTTTTTTTTAAATATTGCCACCTCAGCACTTCCAGTCGTCGGAGCTCCAATAACATGTCACCAGAACTCCCATGATCGGTCGCAAGAGCTCTGACAACTACTTTTTTTTTTTTATATATATATATTGACTACTTTTTTTTAGCTATTAACTATATTTATTTTTAGAACTTTGATAATTACTCTTATTTAGCTACTAACTACTCTAATATTGCGATTGAGTACTTTTATTTTTTAAATTTTGGTGACTACTCTTATTAAGCTATTAATTACTCTAGTTTCACTGTTGATTACTTTTATTTCAAAAATTCAAAAAACATATTAAGTGTTATTAGAGATCTAGTGACTACTTTTTGTTTAGTTACTTACAACTCTTATCTAGTTAATAGCTATATAAAAATAGTCACTGGAATTTTGAAAACAAAAGTAATCAATAATTAAACTAGAGTAATTAATAACTATATGAAAATAGTCACTGAGAAAAAAGACAGTGTTGTCAATTCATAATATTTTAAAATTTTAGAATAGTATAAGGGGTCTAATTTGAGATTTTAAAATTCACCTGTTCTAATTTGTCATTTAACATATTTGAGGTTCTTTTGTGTTTTTCCCCCAAAAACTTATCCTATATATAATCAATGGATAATTTAAAAAATTATAAATTTTAGATATTTTTATTTTTATTATTTAGTTTTAAGTTAGCGTGTGCGCATACGTATACATTGCTTTTGAGGGTCGGTAAGGGGCATCTAGGGAATATCCTAAAATTTGTTCCTTTTAAACTTCCCCTCCAACGTACAGAAATGGAGGCATCAAATCTGAAGCTGCAAAAATAAGTTTTTTCTTTTTTGGTTTAAGGCTAGTTCAAAGTGAAGAATTTTGAATTTTGGTAAAAATATTTTCAGCAAAAGTGCCCAAAAATATTGCGTGTGTACCCACTCTTTTTCCTGGCTCACTATTTTTAAAAGAATTAAGGTACAATTTTATTTTGAAGGTATTTCGTGCAAGAATTGTGAATATTTTAATTTTTTTTGGATTAATAACGCTATATAAGTGTAAAAAAGAAATAAATTCAAATGTTCACCATTAAAAAACTAAGCACCATTAATATTTTTAATAGTTAGGGTCACATTGCCAGCGTATCTACAATCTCTACAATCACTAAGACAATATTAAATTTTTAAAAAAAAAACTTTCAAATACCCCTGGCTTTTACATGAAAACTTCTAAAGTAAAATGTTATAAGTCCTACATTCAGAAATCTCACAAGTGTTATGAGATTTATAAGTTTAAGAAGCTCTCCTTTCTAATAGGCTAATCTTTTGGAATCAGGCTCTTCTTTTATGCTTATACTGATCATATTGGTACTTTTATTAAGAGTTGGCCAACCAGAAAGGGCCTCCTACGGAGGATCCTTACAAGTTGAAGATCAAGTGAAGTGTTGTAAAGTGGAGCCATCAGGAATGTCAACTCTCAAGAGGGGTGCATTATTATTAGTCCCATATTGGTGAATTTTATAAGTATTATAGGGTTTATAAATTCAAAGAACACTTCCTTTTAATAGACTAGTCTTTTTAGGATTGGGATCTCTTTTTAAATTTATGTTCATGTTGATCACATAAAATTGGATGTTAACCCCTTTTAGCAATTTGGGACTTCTTTTTTACACACGCGCACTAGAAGCTTCAGACGGTGCGAGTGTCATTTGCCCCATGAACGAAGGTGGTTTAGACCTCAGAAAGGTTGGTGATATGGGCAACGTGGCAATGTTGAGGCACATTTAGACGTTGGTGACTACTCTTATTGAGCTATTAATTATTCTACTTTCACTGTTGACTACTTTTATTTCAAAAATCAAAAAATATATTAAGTGTTATTGGAGATCTAACGACTATTTTTTGTTTAGTTACTTACTACTCTTGAAGTTAATAGCTATATAAAAGTAGTCACTGGAATTTTAAAAACAAAAGTAATCAATAATTAAACTAGAGTAATTAATAACTATATGAAAATAGTCACAGAGAATAAAGATAGTGTTGTCATTTTATAATATTTTAAAATTTCATAATATTACAAGGAGTCTAATTTGAGATTTTAAAATTCACCAGCTCTAATTTGTTATTTAGCATATTTGAGGGTATTTTAGTGTTGCCCCTAAAACTTGTCCTATATATAATCAATGGATAATTTAAAAAATTATAAATTTTAGAAATTTTTTAGCGTGTGCGCATACGCTCGTACACATTGCTTTTGAGGGTCGGTAAGAAGCATCTAGGGAATATCCTAAAGTTTGTTTCTTTTAAACTTCCCTCGTTTATGAATATTTACCTTACTGTTTTATATTAAATGGTATTATTATCAGTATACTGATATAGTATAATCAGTTCTGACCTTAATGATTATTGATGGCTATAAAACACCTCCAACGTACAGAAATGGAAGCATCAAATCTGAAGCTGCAAAAATAAGCTTTTTTTTTTTTTTTAAGGCTAGTTCAAAGTGAAGAATTTTGAATTTTGGTAAAAATATTTTCAGCAAAAGTGCCCAAAAATATTTGCGTGGGTACCCACTCTTTTTCCTGGCTCACTATTTTTAAAAGAATTAAGGTACAATTTTATTTTGAAGGTATTTCGTGCAAGAATTGTGAATATTTGATTTTTTTTTTGGATTAATAATGCTCTATGAGTGTTAAAAAAGAGATAAATTCAAATGTTCACCATTAAAAAACTAATCACCGTTAATATTTTAATAGTTAGGGTCACATTGCCAGCATATCTACAATATCTACAATCACTAAGACAATATTAGTTTTTTTTTAAAAACTTTCAAATACCTATAGTTTTTACATGAAAACTTCTAAAGTAAAATGTTATAAGTCCTATATTCGGATATCTTACAAGTGTTACGAGATTTATAGGTTTAAGAAGTTCTCCCTTCTAATAAGCTAATCTTTTAGAATTAGGCTCTTCTTTTACACTTATGTTGATCATATTGGTACTTTTAGTAAGAGTTGGCTAACTGGAAAGGGCCTTTTGCGGAGGATCCTTACAAGTAGGAGATCGAGTGAAGTGTTATAGAGTAAAGTCATCAGGAATGTCGACTCTCAAGAGGGGTGTATTATTATAAGTTCCATATTGGTGAATTTCATTAGTATTATAGGGTTTATAAATTCAAAAAACTCTTCCTTCTAATATGCTAACCTTTTTAAAATTGGGATCTCCTTTTAAATTTATGTTCATGTTGATCACATAAAATTGGATGTTAACCCTTTTTAGCAATGTGGGACTTCCCTTTTACACACATGCACTAAAAGCTTCAGACGGTGCAAGTGTCATCTGCCCCATGAAGGAAGGTGGTTTAGACCTCAGAAAGGGTGGTGATATGGGCAACGTGGCAATGTTGAGGCACATTTAGATGTTGGTGTTGGGTAATTCTTCACTATGGAATAATAAGGCGGTGGAAGTTACATGGATTAGGAGTATTAGTTTATGGGATATTTTCAAATCACCTGCCGCTTTCATGGGCTTTGAATAGAATCTTAGAAGAAAGAAATGTGGCTCACAATATTATAAACTATGCCAGAACATCAAACGCACTTATAAGTTGATCTGTGATTCCATGCTGCTTCTTGTTCTCCCAATATGTATATTTACTGAAACACTGAAATACATGATCGGTACAAGTAAATCACTAATTGAGTAAATTATGCTTACCATATGACTTTCTGTCATACTGCGAGCAACTATACCGTTCTACTGAAAAACAAACTTGTCAACGTGAGCGAAAGAATCCAGAAAAGGAGAAAGTGTGTATAGTGTTGAGAGACGCATAATGGCAGGGAGGCCCAAGGCAGACGGTAGATACGGTATTATGTATTTGGAAAGTGACAATTCATAATGGCCCACCCCATCCCATCTTTAATTTAAAATTAAGCTTCCCCTTGGATTCAAATTTCCGTATCTCCACATGTTCTTTAAAAGCCGGAAATTATATTGTCAAATAATCTACAAGGGACTGTTATGAAATTACAAATGAAGAGATATAGGAGACAAAAGAGGCAGGAAAGTGAGTACTAGCTAGGGACAATACTAATATGAGAGCATGCAGTAAAGTAAAACTAAAGATACACACACAGACACACAAAAAAGAAAAGAAATACAGTAACATAGCAGCATCACTAGCCTGCGGGTGAGGCGTTTCAAGGCCTCTTTTTTTGTAAACCAGTACCTTAATATAACTTAATTACCTGCGATTCATTAAAGTCTCTGCTCTCTCTGTCTCTCTCTCTCTCTCTCTTTGCTGTCTATCTGCCCTATAAGAATACACACTTTGTGCAACTTGTCCAAAAAAGCCACCTCTTGTTTGGTCATACCAGACAAATACTTGTTTTAGAAAGTATTCACTCTGCTGGCCTCTGATCTATTTGAATCTCTAGGCTTCAGAATCCAATGCCTATGCCCTACATGCTCTCTCTGGCTCACATTTTTCTGTTTCTCTCATCCTTCCATATGGGGTTTTCAATATGTTCATTCTGACCCAATTGGCCATAGCAGCCACAACTAAACAATATATAGAAATGCTGTTTCTATTTGCTCATCACTCGTTTTGTGTAATAAGAACAATATTTAGAATAAGTAACATTTACAGTAGAATTGTTGGTATTGTAGTGGTAGGCTTTTAGAATGGTTTCAGTGGAAGTGGCGCAAGAGAGACTGTGGGTGGGTCCAAGTGAAATTGGTATGCCTCTCTCACAGCCTTTTATTAGTACTCTTGAGGCTACGCCTGCCCAACTGCTTTGTCTTTTTATAAAGATCATGCCCTTCCCATTCTTATCTCCTCCCTCTTGCTCAGCTTTCATGAGCACCAAACTTTTTTCAATTAATTTAATAAGCCATTTAAAAAAAAAAGAAAACTAACGTATTTTGATTTGATGAAGTGGAATTCATTCCCCCAATAATATATTTGTACGTCAAGATTTTATGAAGGAATTAGCTAGATTAAAAAAGGTATACATACACAAACACACAATGTAATATCTGACAGGGACAAATCTGGATGAACAGTTACTTTAGGGGAGGGACAAAGGAAATCTCAAGAGGGACAGGCTGATACCTCTTTGCCTTTTTAATTATGGCTTTAGAATAATGCCCACCTTCAATTCAAATTATGTAAAATATATAAAATAATGAAAGGAAAGGAAAAAAAGGGACTTAGCTTCAAAAGCATGGCTAGCTATCGGTTCACAAATACCAAAATCAGTATCTCCAAGAAAGTGACATAAGCCAGAGATTCAATTCCTAAACCCATGGCTCCTATCAACCACTTGACCTTTCAAAGCACGCACATTTAGTGATAAGCAACACTTAGGTCCATTTTGTAATTAATAAAAATGGACCATCATTAATATTCTCAAATAGTATACATGATGTCCTATAGATTCTCTGTTAATTTTCAACGACATGCCCAAAAGCATAACATATAAAACACAATTTTTTTAAAATTAAAGAATAGATATGAAATTATAAGGGGAACACTGGAATTAAACCTAAGACCTAGGAGCCTTCTATTTACGTGAGAGCTTTCAAATCGAGTATGACACAGGCATTAAATGTTTAATTCTTGGTGGATTTGATTAAAAGTTAATGAATAAATAACTACGAATAGGCTCATTGGAATCAGTAGCCTTCCTAAAACTGAAAATCAAGCATTAGAATCTCACTAAAGATTACCCAAAACTCCATTGCGGAAGAAACACTGAACAAACACTAGAGTCATGCTAATAAATTCACATAATATAATCTAGCTCTTTACACACAAAAAGAAAGCAGTATATCTCCATGGAAAAAGGCCAAAACTGCAAATCTAGACATCCCAAAACTCTAATATTACCTAAACTTCCTTACAGAAAATTTAGCAGAAACTAACGTCATACACTAGCTAGCTGTTTACACACTTCAAAAAGACCTAGATCACGCCTCAAACAGAACACCACCAACTAACTAGTTGCATTTTCTCAGGAATTGTGTGTGTTCAACCTTCCACCAGCTTGATTAATCAGAGCGAAAGTTTCCTCTCTCGTAAACCCAGTTTGGATTTCTCATTTCAGAGGCAAAGGATCCTGAAAGTAATTATCAACGACCCACTTGGAAGATTCAAAATCATCATCAAGTTGAAATGGAATGTCCCTTAAAATCTCGCTAGATATCAGTTGAGGCGCACCGGATTCAAGAAACAACAGGGGACTAAGAGGGGTTTCGTAGTCCGAGTAACAACTGGATGCAAATTCTGATGATGAATCTGGGAAAAAGAACTTTTCTTCTTCTTCTCTGGATTCCTCGATGCCGGCCCACCCTGCTGGGTCACAGGACCCTCCCCCACTGTATCTAAGAACCGAAGTCGGCGAGGAAGACGAAGACGATAATAAATCGCGAGACTCTTTGCTTGAATCGTAGACACACTCATTTTCCCACGACTTGCTCTTCTTCTTCAGAGGACTTCTCACTGGTCCTTGGGATTCGTGATTGCTTAATGGAAGCACTATAGGTTGATGTTTCTCTGGCGGCTTAATTAAATTAGTCAGAGCATCGGCTCCTCTAAGACGAATGGCTTCTATGTCGTACACCAAAGCCGCTTCCTCCGCCGTGTCAAAAGTGCCGAGCCACTTCCGAGCTCGCAAAAACGGGTCTCGGATCTCCGCCGCCCAGCGCCCCCACAGCCGCTGCCGGACGCCGCGAAACTTCTTCCCGTTGGGGAGGCTCTGTTTACTTCTGGCCATTGCAGGTCGCCTTTCCCTGTTCTTCTGCTTCAAAATGGACCTGGAATCACCGTTAACTTCCCTGTGAGATATGAAACTGGAGAAATCTTCCATTCTGATCTCATGGACGAACTTCTTCACCGTGCGAGAAAAACGTCCTTCTCTCTCGTCTTCATCGCTGGAAGAATCAGTAGCATAGTCGTCAGCCACGGAAATCCGAACAACTCTGGGTGTCACGCCCGGAAAGCACGGATTTCTCACAAGCTTGCTTGTGATAATTTTCTGCTCAGATAATTTGGTTCCCCTCATTTCTGTGAGAAACAAGAGAGCTCAAGCTCACATGATCAATGGCGGAAAGAGGTTTTGTTGGTTTTCTGAAACAGAGTGAGAGTGTAGAGTCAAAAGCGAAGAATGACAGGTATTATATATGGAGTGAGATATTGCAGGCTGAATTTTTCCCGAAATGACAATGTCAAAATTTTTAATTTTTTTAATAAATAGGGGAATTTTTTTTTGGTGGGTTGTTCGAGAAAGAATCTTGGGAGGAGGGAGAGAGGCAGGCGCAGATTCCGGTGAGCGAAAGACAACCATACGACCCGCCGCATTTGCAAACAAAACCGTTTCGTTATGCCGACGTTGGCATTCGCTGCCACCACGAAAACTCCACAACTTCCGATTTTTTTTACCAGGTGGTACTAGTAATTCATTAACAATTGGAATAAACGAAACCACATTTTACACTAGAAAGATATGCTTTGAATTGAATGTGTTTCCGGTAATTTATCATTAGTAATGACATTTTCAAAGCAAAATATTAACATCATCATCACTGGCATTATCATTATTTTGGGTAAACTAACATTCAACATCCTGATATTATTTTTTACTACATTCGGTTTTTAATATAAAAACTAGTTGACTAATTTGAATAGATTAAAAATATTAGTTAAGTTAGTTATTTGTAATAAGTAGGTATTATTTTTCCTAAAATATTCTTACTGATCAAATATATTGGTTAGAACTATCATTATTATAAGAACTGTTTGGAAAATAATAGATAAATATGAGAGACAAAGTATATTAGGGTATTATCTTTAAGACCAAGATAAAAGTCAAACAAAATTTTATATTAAATATTGGAGGTAGTACATGCAATCGGTGTTTATGATTATTTTCCATTTATATTGATTGCCTTAATCTTATTTTTTTTTATTTAGGGTATTAGATTTATGAATATTCTTTTTTTTAAAATGCGGCTATATGATTGAGTTGAGTCAAAGACTTCATGCTTAAGTAGCTGGCCCCTTTCATTAGGAGCTAGGACCAACCTATATTGTTAATATTAATATTAGTATTAGTAACATGTTCAAAATATTTTTAAAAGCGCTTTCACTTCAAAAAGCTTGTATGAGCGCAAAATGTGACAAGGTGGTTGTGGTATCAGGCTTGGCTGCTTGCAGTGCTTCGACACGCCCAGTGATCGAATGGAAACAACGGATACTTTTTGACAAAACGGAAAGTACACGTGGCGAATGAAGATTGGTGGCAGGCGATGAGACCGTGGGTACGGATACCTGACCCCATGAGATGGGGACCACCGCCGTTCGTATTGGCCGGTGATATGGTGATATGATTTTATCATAGTCATGTCAGAAAGGGAAGATCCTTTGACCGCCCTCCTCAATAGCCTACATTCTGGTATTTTATTTTATAATTTTTTACAAGGTTAAGGTGCATTTCAAAGATCAATTTGATATCTTATAGTATTTTGTAGTATATCTAATATTTTAAAATATTTTTAACTACATTTAGTACCATAAAATATTTTTTTGTGCATACAGTACTTTTAAATATTTTTTTTAGTGTGTCCAGCATTAAAACAAAAAAAAAATTTGGAAGCCCTAGACACTCATAAAAAATACGTCAAAGTGTTAGATGCGTTACAAAATATTATAGGGCGTTTGATGCATCTTGTCCTTGTTTTATAAATTATATTTTGTACATTTTTAAAATTTGAATTTATTTTTTATTTTTATTCCATTGAATATGTATGATTTTTAACTCTTTTTCTCATGCTCATTTTCTCGATAAATAAAGTCATATTTTAAAAAAATACATTTCTCACACATTTATTCCTTTTAATTAATTTTAATCAATTTTTTTATTTATGAAATTTGCTTATTTATTACTTATAAACTATCATGCATCAGTTGATGGCCTGGGTTGGCAGGAGGAAAAAAAAAATGGTTGGTGGCTTGGATGTCAAGAAACATGGGGAAAAATAGAGATTTTTCCAAAACTTTTGTGACAGCGTTTTCCTTCTTCTTCTTTTTTTGTGTGTGTGTGAGATTGTTGGCTGTTGATGACGTCTTCCCTTTTTGAAAAAAAAAAAATCATTGATATGGTAGGTAGGGAATGAGCAAAGTCTTTCTCCTTAATTGGCATTAATTTTTGGGGGAAAATCATAAAAGAAGAGTCATCACATTCTAATTTTAAGTGTGTGGCCTATGGTTTTCCATTCTTTTCACGTGACCCTTTGTTTTTTTAACTTGATATTGAATTTTACATGTTTTTTTTTTGGTTGGCCAAACATCTTTTGTTAAAGAACAAATAATTAAGGCAAAATTATATCCAATAACTCAATATAGAGTGGAATAATTTGTATATACTCTCTCTCATCCTAAATATAAGACCCATTTTGTAGTATAATTTACACTATAAAATGGGTCTTATATTTAAAACTCGAGGAGTAATTTGAAGTAACAAATAGAGTTTAATTATCTAGACAGATGAAAAGACCAAAAACTAAACCCAACAAAACCATGTTACCTATTCTGTATTTTTTTTTTTTTGTGACAACCTATTCTCCCTTCAAACATGTTAAAGCCGAAGGGTATTTGCGGCATAAAAAGTGTTAAAGGGTATTTGAGTCATCATGTTTTATTGTTTTTGGTCATAGAACATAATTAAATTTTTAATAATTTTTATTATGGAACCTCATGCTTTATACAAAAGCTTAAGGTGAAATGCACAATTCAGGACTCATGAATAATGCCACTTCTTATCAAGTAAATATATATATATATTTCCATTTTAATCTTTCTATAAAATTTTTTAGGGAAAATCCCAGAAAAGTCCCTGGAATATACCAAATTTCAGATTGGGTCCTTAAATTTCGAAAATGACAGAATGGGTCATTGACCCAATCTATCATTTGTGAAATTCAGGCGAATTGACATTTTTATCCCTGAGCAAAAGTGAGTAGTTATTCTCTAAACAAATTTAGGTAACGCTTACACTGTTCTAGTGATGACAAGATTCGTTGTAGTTAATAATAAGGTACCTGACAATAATAAGATATCTGACTATGAAAAAATGAGTAGTTATTCTCTACACAAATCTAGGTAATACTTACATTGTTCTAGTGATTACAGAATTAGTTGTAGTTAATAACAAGACACCTGACTATGAAAAGTGAGTAGTTATTCGCTACACGAATCTAGGTAACACCTAAACTCTTATAGTGATTCCTTGAATCATTGTAGTGAATGAATAAATGAGGGCAAAATTGTCAATTCGCCTGAATTTCACAAATGATAGATTAGGTCAATGACCCATTCTGTCATTTTCGAAATTTAAGGACCTAATCTGACATTTCTCATATTCCAATGACTTTTTTTGGTATTTTCCCAATTTTTTACGATTATCAAAATATACAGATTTCAGTTTTTTTTTTTTTTGGTTACAATATTTTAACCCTTGGGCAGTAACTCTGCAGCATCCTATTATCCTGAGCAAATTCCAGAGGTGCCTTTGAGACAAGATTCTAGCTAGCTAGTATGGTACATGATGAAAAGAAGATTAAATTGCAGCAACAATCTTAAAAAGGATTTTTGGTTTTAAATCAAGATATGATATCAATAAACTATTAAACTTGTTCCTCTAGAAATCTAATAAAACAAGATAAATGGCATACAAGTGTTCTTAAGATTTTTCCGTTGAAAGGACCAAAAACTCCTTTGTGAACAATATAACAGTAGTATTAAATGTAACAAATGAGAGCATCAAGGTGTGTATAAATCACAATGGAAACATTAAGTGGTGAAAGAAAAGGTGCAATAATGTGAGTCAGATTTGCTGTGTTTCCAGCAACAGCCAGAATCCCAGTCTTATCCCAAAGGCAGATTTATCTGCAAATTTAGTTCTACACACCTAACCCAATATGTTTTTTTTAACTTGGCGTCTATTGTGCAGGTAAATTTGGCGAATGGTGCCAAAAATGGCCATGCAAACTCGCAGATATCTTTCTATTCAATTTTGATTTTGACTGTTCATCCGTGGGCATAACCAATAAGTTTGGACATCTACTCCAATTATTGGTCTCACATTATGGTTTGTAACACGTACCACATGTTTGCTCACTGATAATTAGCATTTTAAAAGCATATCATCGTACTATTCAATACCTATCATGTGTTTACATTTATATCAAGTAGTACCCTTGTTTATAATTCTCATCCTTATACTCATATGGAAGATGCCTCTATAATCATGCCCCTACTTAGAATTATATAAAAGTAGTCGACAGTTAAATAATAAAGACAAAAACATTATACTGCCTCTGGTCCTTAATATGAGATCCACTTAGCTAATTGGAAAGAGATTAAGAAAATTACTGAATTATTTAATTATAGCATATGTTATATTATCTCTCTAAAATACTTGTGTGGATGATTATATTATATATCACTTTATAAATGAAACAAATTAATTTTAAAAAATAATAAATATAAGTAGTTTAAAATAATTTAATAACTTTTTTTTTAAAATTAGACAACTGAGTATAAATATCACACTAAAACTCACTTTCCATGCCGACCTGTCCATTCCCCGCTGATATCACGTGAAATGCAGTTATAGACGCTCACTTCAAATTCTTTCTGCAATATTTTTTTCTCTGTTTTTTTTTTTGGGGTTGGGGGGGGGGGGGAGGGACCGTGCATTGAAAATTCCATCAGGGAGCACTTGTTCTGACCTCATCATTTAGCTAAAGTCTCATGTTTTGCAAGCCAACTTTTGGACCTTTGATCAACCTTCAACTAGAGGAGAAGGGGAGGTTGATGAGGGATAAATGTCTTGCCTTTCATTGTTAGTTGTTTTTTGCTTTGTTTGTATCCAGTCTTCATTCAAAAACAGAAAATTCCATCAGGGGCCCCCAATGAGGCGTAACAGCAAATAGACAAGGCAGTACGGGTGGGATTTTGGCCATTAAGGACTACAGCTGTTTATATGACAGAGAGACTACAATCAGCTACAGAAATTTCACAGCACCACAGACGAAATTTCATACGGACGAAGTAAAGCTTGTGAGGCTTTCACAGCTAAGGCAAATTCTAAGAACCTATCCTCAAATTGTCTAAAGCAGAAAGCAGAAGATAGATCGTTGGATTATACAATTATTACACTTTTTAACAACAAATGGAAGGAAAAAGCCCTCTCACGCCTTCCAATATGTTAGCCCATGGCATACTTCTGAGTCCAGCTCCTGGCAGTGGTCTCATACTTGGCCCTGTCTGTCTTGTACATGTGAGCAATTTCTGGCACCAAAGGATCATCTGGGTTTGGATCCGTCAAGAGGGAGCAAATCGAAAGCAAGACCTGAAAAAGGAAACAGAAACCCTTCCCACCCACTTAAAAAACAGCAATGATTCAAGACAGATGAGGATTGCAACCATGCTTTTCAATTCATATGCTTCACAACTTTATCTTGTCAGCCAAAACAGAATAATCCCTAACCGATATGTCCCTTTCTTTTCGTTTCTTTTCTTTTCTTTTTTCCTTTCCTTTTTAAATTACACCAGAATATTTAAGCTTTGACCTCGATTCACATCCCACCCCACTTCTCCCATCTTAGCTAGCCTCTGGTCATAAGCTCAGAGCGCTCAGATGTGTTTCTTTTAACTCACGAGATTTGTTATTATTTGTATTTCCACAACTGGACATCTAAGAAGTAAGATTGACAAACAAGTGTACCAGATGCAAACGTAGCTAACTCCTAAGTCATCACTAAAATATTGCACTGTGATTTAAGAATCATGGGGTATGTTGGACAAAATTTTCCCAGCAGAAGTGGCATGCATTAATCGTTTATGTTTAAATTAAGCATGGTGTCGGAACCTTAGATATAGTCAAAGCAGGGCTCCACTGCTCCTTTAAGATATCAAGACAAATACTGCCATTGCTGTTGATATTTGGGTGGAAAACTTTGGTTCTGAAAGCAACCTGCAAGGACAGCCAAAAAAAAAAAAAAGGCAGAAAAAGAAGAGTTAAAATTTGAGCATACATGTTCTTCCCGAAAAAAAAAGAGAGGTTATTGCGAATCCAGGTCCAATAATATAAGAGCAAGTTGTTAAGAAGTTCTGATCCATTTCCAGAGCGAAGAAGAGGTTTCAAGGATAAAGGCTCGTGAAAACTACATTATGAATGAGACATTATAAAGTCTTAAATGCCAAGTGAAACGAGTTGATCAAACGAACTAAGATATTAGACATAAAAATAGAAAACTTCAGTTGTCTGTGTCGAGTAATCTGTTAAGTTAGAAATCTTAAAGAATCAACTGTTCATTATTATCCGAGAGTCAAAGATTCTATTACTGCTAAGGAATCTATCAACCATCCTTTGTCATTAACTCTTGTAGTTAATTTTGATTCTTTTGGTTTGTCTCTATTTTCAGAGTAACATAATTAAGAGATGAGAGGCTGCCATCAACGAGCCTTTCCTTTCGTTATATTTCCGTCTTCATCCTGAAGTAGACAGCTTCTTCCTTCTTTTAAATGATATTAGAAGGATTCTTTTTGTCTTTTTATTCGAAAAAGCTGTAGAGTTTTGCAAAGATGACAGCCATCCCATCACTTAACCAGTATTTGTCAAGATCCAAAGATCACTCGTATGGCAATCTATTTGTTTATGGTACATGCTTTTATTAATCGTATCAATTAGCATAGTACATACACCTTTTGATGCAAAATATCTCATCAAATTAGCAAACACAATTTCATGATTTCATCAGCTTCAAATCTATGAGAAATTTATAACCCTTTTATTAAGATCAGGGTAAAATATAAACTTAATTCAGTCATTAGAAACTGCAGTATATTAAATATTCAAATCATAGCATTTGAATTGATATGTGTTCATGGACATCCAAGAAAGCTACTGGAGTACGAGTTAGCATTCATCACCAGGAATAATCCATCGCTTGGCATTAACATTTCAATCAAGATACTCGAGTGAAAAACAAGGAAAATAAACTGCGTAGTAAAAGAAGGATGAAAGGAAAAATGAAGTATTAAAAAAACATCAGCATGCAATAAAAAAGTAGTCACACAAATAGCAAATACAATCATTCCAAATAAAGGTTTCAGAGAATAAGATAATCTACATCCACTATGTCCCAAGCACACAAGATGCAAACTGTGAAGCTTGTATTTTTATGGACCAGGGCAATACCTTAGGTGGCTTGAATGGGTAATCAGGAGGAAAATGAATGGTGACTAGAAAAACACCCCCAGCATACGGGCTATCAGGGGGGCCCATTATCGTTGCTTGCCAGTGAAACATATCCTCTGCCACAGGGCCTGGGCAAGTGATGAACAAAGCATAATGAAATGAACTTAATCAATATAATATATTATAACAGATACAAGAATGCGCTTCAAATAAATTTTCCAAATTTTCATACTGAAACCCGAACTTTAGACCTACTTGTTTGTTAAAATCAGAAATGGAATATTGTATCAGTGATATTTAGTGTGAATTCTAGTCAGCCAAGCCCTATCACTATGGAAAATTAAAGGAATATTTGCCTAAAATTGGCCCCTATTTCAAGATAACTATCATAAACCCGAAGGAGTTGAGAAAAATCTCAATTGGAAAAAATGATTTAAGAAGTAAATTGAATAATAATATCCTAAAAGCTATAAGATTCAGTGTACGAAAAACCTTGACCCTAATAGCCATGATCAAATGGAGGGAAACGGAGTTTAATTCAAAAAAGGTGGCGAAAACTCAGGTCAGCTAATCACAACTTGAACATCTCAATAGTCAATTACCTTTGGCGAAACTATTCAACGCTTAGAAAAATGTCTCACAAAATCCCACTTTTGACAAAAATCTTGTGAAAGCCATTATAAAGGTTGAGAAATTTACAAGCCATCATATACTTCATTCATGGGTTATATATCTAGATTCGCACAGACACATATCAAAACGAGAAAAACATCCGATAAAATCACATACAACGTATTCACTCCATTTCCCATGACATTGGCGGGATAATTGTCGGCTTAATGTCCGCTCCAGTTTTGAATATCTAGTTTTCCAATATGTTATTAGGCAAGGTTTTCATAAGCATCGTCACTGTTGGTTTGTAATAGAAACACCGACAGCTAATATTGTCAAATGAAAATATAAATAAATAAATAAACACAACAAATAGACCCGCATCCATAAAATTTCCAGAAATCGCAGATCGGGTCCTGTAGGAAGCCTAAAAACTACTTAAACAGGAAAAACAACAAAAAACAGGGCTAAGAAAGGGGATTTGGTGGAAACAAATTGATACCAGCACTGCAAGAGGTAGGAGGGTCTTTCTGGAGGTCTTTGAGCTCCTTCAAGATCCGCTTGGAAGCCATTTGAGTAGTTCCGCCGAAGAAAAGAAGTCTTCGTTTCGATCTAAAGACGGGAATGAAGAACGAGGAAAAATGGGGTTGCTTTCTGAAATAAACAAATGAGGGCGAGAAATCAACTTGAAGAAATGACGACGGAAAAAGGAAGCGATTAATGTCTTTTACATATTGATAAAAACTGAGGTCCCTTTCCGCTTTTATGAACCGTGGTTGTGATTTGTGAATAGCTCGTTCCTATCTTTTTAAGCGAATATTAGTTTATAGGCCCTGAAAATTTACAACTTCTTCTAAAGAAAAGTCTTTATAGTTAGAAAATTAAGAATTAATCCCTACAAATTAAGATGTTGGCCTAGTTGGCCCATATTATTAGTGAAATTTTAATCACCTATCCTCCATGAGTCCATATCTATCAATGTTAACTAATATACCATGTGACAAACTAGGATTGATGTAATGTGGTCTTTTAATATTGGGAAAAAAAATCAATATTATTAATTTATGTAAGAACTTGAAGCTTTCGTTTGAATCGCACTTCTTGACATTTCTCAACCTTAATTTGTAGGTGATTGTGTATAAATGACAATGGCATGATCAATGATGATGTTTTAAAACATTGTAATTGCCATCTTAGCTTTTCTTTTTGTTTCTCTTCTTTTATTTTTATTTTTATATAACCATCTCAGCTTTTCTAAAACATTGTAATTACCTCGTATTATAACCTAATGACATGAATATAATGTCCTCCTATAAGTGCGAGGTTACATGTTTAATGTCACTTATTATCCCACATATGTTAGAATCTATCACACTTTTTATATACACACGCAGAGACTAGAATCTATTACTCTTATAGTGAAAAAAAAATCCTATTTTCACTAATTCAAGTTTGGAGCTACAATATGATTCTTCTTGTCATTAACTATTTGCTAAATTAGCCCATTCAACACTGGGACCTTGTCCTCATGGCCCAAGTAGCCTCCTCAAGGTTTGTTTTGATGTCTAGAGCTGCTAACAACCCTTTTTTTTTCTTTTTTTTTAAATCATAGATTGGTCTTATCCATAATTTTGGGCAAGTTCATAGGAATGGAACCCTCATCAACACAACTGGTTTGCTTGAGACTTATGCAGAAGCCTAATGAGAGGTCTTTACTTTAGAAAAGCTCAACGGTGGTCAGTGATAACCATGGCCACCCAAGCTTTTAACTCGTTGCTTATAATCCAAACCAGAAGCCGCTATGATTGGCAATGAAGACCTTGCCATTTTGTTTCATAATTATTAGGTATGATTCTTCTTTGATTTTTTTTTTTTTTGGCTTTTTATGTGGGTGCCCTATGTATGGCCTGTATATGATACCTATTGTTATTTGTTCTCATCCAAACTGGTGATTGAACTGTTCAAACTACTCAATAATATTCCTGCATTATTGTTATACATGTGGTTGGGAATATATAAAATTGATGCCCCAATCAATTATTCATCTCCCCATACTCTTCTTTTCATATTAGCTTCTTTTTTTCTTTTGAATTCAAATGCAGGTACTAACAACGTAAAGTTATAAGTGGAATTAAACTTGTTGTTTTGCACTTATAAGAAAATTTTCATACTATTAAATTACAAAACCGTTGGCTTCTCTTCATATTAGTTAAGTTTATATTTGAGCAGCTTGTGTACAATTATCACTAATTAGTTGTCTAGACCCACTCCTCATTGTTACAGGGATTTGAATATCAGTTATTTAAATTTTGAACAATTTATATATTTTTCATGAAATTATACCCCTAATGCATACACTACAAGTTTTTAGTGATCCTTAGGAAACGTTATTATCATAATGGTACTGAACATGAGCAAGAATATGAAAGAAAGAAAGAGGTGTGATATCATTCTCTAGCCAACCTCTGACCATTTTCTACACACAGGCGGCAGAGGCAGCCTTTCAAGTTGTCTAATTTCCCACCAATCAGAATGCTACGTTGCACCTCAATATTGAAAATTATCATATGCCTTTTTCCCTAACCCACTATGCATCGCACCTAATAAACTTGGTTTAATACATAAAATTTCAACCAAAAAAAGAAGAAGAAGTAATTTTAGTTTATTTTTAAAAACAAAAAGACGGTGAAGTATGGTAGATAATACTCCTCTGGTCTTTAATGTAAGATCCATTTAACTAATTTGATTAGATTAAGAAAGTTAGGTAAGTTAGTTAATTATAAAAAATAACATGTTTTTCTTAACATGTTTTTCTTAAAACATCATAATTATCTTTTTTAATACCCTATCTTCTTCTTCTACTTGATTATGGTTGAGGGAGTATCCATAAGGGTAATTTAGAAAAAATTGATAAATATGAGAAATGGGTTTTATATTTATGATCAAAACTAACTTAAAAATTAGGTATTAAGGACCGGAGGAATACTCATTAATAATAGTCACCCCCTCCCTTTTCCTTAAATAAGATGAACATCGGACCTGGCTCAGAACATTTGATGATTGAACTAGTAGATAATGTGGACATCTCTCAGAAATATAGTTTACTTAAATTAAATTGTTTGGCCAAAAAATATTTTGAAATTGATTAGTTTAACACATTCATTGAATACACTTCTTGAAATTTTCTCTCTATTTTTCTTTTCCATCCTTTCAATAAAAGACTTTTACAAAAAAATTAACGTGGTATCCTCAAATAGAGAGAGAATGACACAACACATATAGTTTTATTTTTATTATTTCCATATTTTTATTTTAGAAGCACATTCTATATTCTCCGCGAATTAAATTTAACCGAAAAGAAGAAGAAGACCCCACCACCGCACAGATCTTTAAGAATACAAGAAGTTCTTCAATGGTAAAATGAGTGATGAATGCTTATCAACAATCCCTTGAGATAAACAAGCAAACGAATAAATTATAATATAACATTAAATACAATATTCAATCAATCGCCCGTATAATAACCCCGTAACAACCCCACTACACAACAGAAGAACCAAACAGTACCTTGAATTCCTGCAGATGATCCCTTCTTCTTCTTTGACTGTGACCCTTTTTATCCTTCTCCAAGCAAAGTATTTTACAAACTTATTACTTTCACTTTTGTAAAACACCAAAAAGAACAAGTATGGAATTTTCTTTAGATCTACAATCCCCTTCGGTTCTGATTCTGATTCAGAACTGCTTGTTGCAGAGCAACACGAGGTACTGTAGTAAAACCTTTCACTGTTAAAAAGAAGTAGTGGCCAGCTCACTGTATCTTGATCCTGCGTCCACAAGAAACAAATAACTTCAGAATTGTCATACTTTGCTATCAAAGGAAACAGGGGCTTTCCTTCAAACCCAGTTGGTAGGAGGTTGTCATATCTGATAAGCACTCACCAAAGAATTTCTTGTGTGTGCGTGTGCGCTTTTTGGCCTAATTAATATTCAACATATTCAATAAAATTTGATTTCACAAGGGAAAAAAAGATATCTTAAGAGAATAATTTGTTCGAATCTTTCATCTTCTACTCCCATATCAATAAAGAATTTGACTAAAATGAAAAAAAGAAGAAGCTTCCTATAAATAAATCTCTTGGCCATTAAATTTTTCTTTCTATTCAAGAAGTCTGGTTATGAAATTACTATAAAAGATAAACTTGTTATCGGGATATTAAATAAATATCTTGAAAGTGATTTATACATCAACAATTAAGCATAGGATTATACTTGGCTGTAAATATAATCAAGATCTTCGATGGTCGTAATTTATGAGGATGTGTTATAATTTTTTCCATTCAAAATTACAAGTCGAGGTAGTCTTTTTCATTCAAGTTTGTAA